AGGATGGAGATGAAGGTTGGACTTGTACACTTTCGTTCATACTTGTCTTGGAGATGCTCACATATGGCAGAATTCGAATCGCTCGCCATGGAAATTGCCGAACCGACAGAAAACGAGTTAAAGAATCTTTGGCGGACAGCAACACGTGCCCGATACAGGCGCAACATTTTCCTGCCGGTTTTTCGACCTCTATGCGAGATGCTCAATTCCGATGTTTTCTTCGACGCGTCCAAGCAAGCCGTATTCAGCTTCATGGAGATCATCTTGCGCCGCGTGCACCTGGACAAACCTCTGTAAGTAACTGGTTACTCTCGCCTCCACCTGGTGAAACTAAGATGATCAAGGCAATCTTCACGTATCCATACCATGAGCTTTGAAGTCACAGGTATCCGAGGCGAAGTCGAGTGTGAAGGGGTGCTACTCGATTGTTCTATGCCACATTCTCCATTGGTAGTATTTTCGGTCAGTCTCGCTCCGTCCTAAGGGTGCGACATGCACTGACACGTCTTGACAGGTTGCCAAGGATGATGACTACAACTTTAAAGGCCAAGTAGCACAGTTGTTACTGCAAAAGGTGGTGGCATACCAAAGGAACCTGTGTCGTAGAGCCTTTGTTATCTTTATGGATAGCACAAATCTTCAGCTTACTATGGCAGACCCACCCCGCGAATACTTAGACGCTCTCTTGCATGGAGAGCGCCCAGACAAGCGCCTCCATCTATATCACTCGGAGTTTTACAATCTTTGCAATCGTCGTCGACGGAAGGAGGCATTGAGGGTTATGCTTGGTCTTGTCAGGCTACTTGATGCAGATGCCCTGACAAGAAGGTTGCCTTGAGGTTTTCCTTCCTTAGTCTCGATGCCGAAGGTAATAATTGTTATTCTAGTCTGAGCTAGTGTGTATCGGAATTCACCTCTTGCTTGATCATATAATCCACACGTTTTGGCGTATTTCCCTGACAGGAGACTAACCCGAGCGCTATCAGCTACCTATGCCCACCCAGTGGTGGAATTCAAGTAGTTTTGTGGGGAATATTTTGTGGAGAAGTGCAAAGTACAAATGCATTCAACTCTCTTTGGTATGCGGTAAAGTCGGCAATGATTGTCCAGGCATCATGCACCAACTTTGCCCGATGGCGCTAAGCCCTGCCATCGACAGCACTCTGACTCGTATGGTAAGGTCCTTCTGATGTGACATAATATGGCCGACGAACTAAATAAATACGTTTCCCTGACCCCGCAACCATGGCTTTCTTCCAAACTTCCTGGTCTCCTTCAGTCTTACCAAGCGTTCCCCTGAGCAAGATTCCAAGTTCCTCTTTCAACCAAACTTTTATGTGTACCATGTGTTCCAAATCTAATTACTCAAGCCCAAAATGGTGGAAAGAGGCGGTGGTGTATCAAGTGTATCCCGCGAGCTTCAACTGTGGTAAACCTACAAGCAAAACCAATGGATGGGGTGACGTGGCCGGTTTTATTGATAAGATTCCTTATTTGAAGAGCTTAGGTGTTGATATTGTATGGCTTAGTCCAAGTGAGTTGGATCAGTTCTGTCTTGAGCGCAGCTATAATATGAAGAACAAATATCTGACATCTTCCCATATAGTCTATACGTCCCCACAAGTCGACATGGGCTACGATATCGCAGACTACAAATCCATCGATCCGCGGTATGGTACCTTATCGGACGTTGACCTGTTGGTAAAGACGCTGAGGGATCATGATATGAAACTCATGATGGATCTTGTGGTCAATCATACGTCCGATCAGCACTCTTGGTTTATTGAGTCTGCGAGCTCCAAAGAGTCCCCTAAGCGTGATTGGTATATTTGGAGGCCGGCCAAGGGATTCGACAATGACGGGAACCCGATCCCTCCGAACAACTGGGCGCAGATTCTGGGCGATGCACTCAGTGCTTGGACTTGGCATGAGGAAACTCAAGAGTTTTATTTGACTTTGCACACGTCTGCGCAAGTCGAGCTCAATTGGGAGAATCCAGTGGTCGTTGCTGCGGTTTATGATGTGAGTCTCGCTGGTGTCCAGGGCTCGATTAATCTTCAAGACCTGCGTCTTTGAGCGAGTGGTGTTACTGATCGGTAATACAGGTGATGGAGTTTTGGCTGCGTCGTGGGATCTGCGGATTCCGCATGGATGTCATCAACCTCATTTCAAAGGACCAGTCTTTCCCAGACGCCCCAATTATAGATCCCACCTCTAAATACCAGCCCGGCGAGCAGTTCTACACAAACGGGCCACGCTTCCACGAATTCATGCACGGCATCTACGACAATGTATTATCCAAGTACGACACCATCACTGTGGGAGAAACGCCATACGTCACCGACATCGAGGAAATCATCAAGACGGTGAGCTCCACAGCAAAAGAGCTTAATATGGCGTTCAATTTTGACCACATGGAAATTGAAGATGTAAAAACCAAGGGAGATTCCAAGTGGAGCTTGCGCGACTGGAAGTTGACCGAGTTGAAAGGCATTTTGTCCGGATGGCAGAGAAGAATGAAAAAGTGGGACGGCTGGAACGCCATCTTCCTGGAATGCCACGATCAGGCGCGGTCAGTGTCCCGATACACCATTGATTCGGATGAGTTCAGAGAGCGTGGAGCCAAGCTCCTAGCGCTTCTGGAGACAACGCTAGGTGGGACCATTTTCCTTTATCAGGGCCAGGAGATTGGTATGCGCAACTTTCCCCTCGAGTGGGATCCAGACATCGAGTACAAGGATGTTGAGTCGGTCAACTTCTGGAACAAATCCAAGGAGCTCCACCCTGTTGGGGCCGAAGGCCTGGCTAAGGCTAGGACGCTCTTGCAGAAAAAGGCGAGAGACCACGCTCGCACCCCGATGCAATGGAGTGCTGCCCCGCATGCAGGCTTCACAGTCCCTGATGCAACACCTTGGATGAGAGTAAATGATGATTATAAGACTATTAATGTGGAGACACAGATGTCTTTTCCCTGGCAAAGCAAAGGTGAACTATCCGTTTGGCAGTACTGGCAGCAGGCGATACAGCATCGAAAGCTATACAAGGATGCGTTCGTTTACGGCGGCTTTGAAGATCTGGACTATCATAACGAAAAGATCTTTGCGTACTTGAGGACTAGTGCAGATGGAAAAGACAGCTGGCTTGTTGCCATGAACTGGACAACGTCTGCAGTCGAATGGACGGTTCCTTCCGACATCCACGTCATACGCTGGGTCTCATCAACGCTCCAGACTGCCCCGCCTGTGGCAAGCAAGACAGCGATCACGCTACGCGCCTTTGAAGGGGTTCTTGGGTGTTGTAATTAGCATGTTGCATGGTATCACTGCTAATGTGTTACGTTGTGTCGAGATCTCCTGTTGTGTTAATGGTCCATCCACTTTGGCCGGCCCACAAATTACGGTTTCACGCTAGTCCTCTTTGGCAAGTTAATAGCCGCGCTCCCGGTATAGGGCAAAGGATCAACGCCTGACGATCAGTTATTCTTATCTTGCTACAAGGCCATCAGTGGGTACAATAACAATAATAGGAAAACTGTAATCATTGCCTGGAAGTCCAGCTTGTGTACATGAAATGACGCAACGACGGTAAGACCAAGCAATGCCATCCTTCTTGTCCGAACCAGGCAAATTGTTTATCCTCATTTATTCGAGGACACACTCTATAATCACCTGTTCAGCTCTAGTCTTATCAGTAATATATCAAGCTAATTACCCTTCTGGTACATCAATATCCTGTCATACTGCATCAAACATCTGCAGCTGAGACAACACATTATCTAAACGCCACAGCCCCGCATCGCCAGCCCTATAAGTCACACAACGACCAGGCTTAGATCCAATTGACTAAATCCTGTCAATACGCACCATCAGAAACATCTATTCGGCTGTTACTCTACATATCAAGCGACCACTACGATGGAACCTTCAACAGAAAAGAACCTTGCTCTAATCGAAACCGCCAAGTCCCTAGCGAACACGCCTTGGTGCGAGCAATATGAACGTATGATATCAGGGATGCTGTACGCCTCGAGCAACAATACCTGTAAAATAAGTGCCCCAGGATCTAATTCACATATTAGGTACGACCCCCTCGTTCCAGAACTCATGCAAAGCCGTTACCGAGCCCGCAAGCTAATGTCGAAATACAATGCACCCATTCCTGATGACATATCATTCGAAGATCTTACACAGCAGCGCGAGAATCTGCTAAAGCAATTACTGGGACAAGTTGGCAAAGGTGCCTTTATTGAGCCACCGCTGATGGTCGATTACGGGTGCAATATCAAGATTGGGGATGGGTTTTATGCTAATTTCAAGTATGTTGACTTCAATGCATTCCTTATCTATGCACTCAAATAACGATTCATAGTACCACCATTCTCGACTGCTCCCTAATTATCATCGGTGACCGTGTGGCCTTCGGCCCCAATGTGAGCATTCTGGCTGCCACGCATGAGACCAGTGTTGAGTCCCGGAGGAATGGAGTTGAATTTGCGAAAGAGGTGGTTATCGGTGACGACTGCTGGATTGGAGCCAGAGTTTCTATTTTGGCGGGTGTTCATATTGGTAAAGGTTGTACGATTGGGGCTGGGGCTGTTGTCACGAAACATGTTCCTCCTTTTAGTGTTGCTGTGGGATCCCCGGCTCGGGTTGTTAAGCAGGTGGAGCCTGTGGACTAGAAGGATGCAGGATTGAGTTTCTTGGTAGTATCTAGCCGAATTTATGTAAGGATTATCTGAGTGATCGGCAAATATTAATTTCGACTCCCTTTCCATTTCGGAAAAGTATCTTTCAGGGGGTGTTAGTGATGGTTATATTGAAGCTGGTGATCAACGAAGTACCTGTTCGTTGAGGTATATGGACTAGTAATAAATACAACACAAGCGATGGCGGTAAGAGAATCAGAAATAATGTAACAAATGTCGCATACATCGACGAATTGAAGAGAAGAGATAAAAAGCCGTAAACACGGATTGGTAGATGATGAAGGTTATCTCAAGGTCACATTCGCGCAAATGCGTCAATGTTATCGTCCCAGGTGACTTGACCTCCTAACACGCGTATTGGCATTGTTCTCAAACCTTGGTATGCCACAAGGGTGGCAAACCAATCCTCAAAAAGCTTGACCTTCTTGCTCCAGGCAATCGGAATCTGACCCCATCCATCGCCGACATGCTGCACCAGCTTGGAGGTATTTACTGCAGGCCACTCGGTAGCACCTTCGGCCTGAGTGTTGGGGTTTCTGGTCTTAATAAAGCTGGCCCAGTAGTGGTTCATATTCTTGGCGATGGCGTAATCATCGGCAGTCCAGGGTTTGTCGGTGGCATAAAGATTGTTCAATACATAGTCGATTCCCGACTCGTGATAAGCGCCAGAGCTCTGGCCAGGGGGAGCGTGGTCCCAGAAGTAGTTCCAAACCGGGCTGCTCTTCTCGGTGTACCACATCTGAGTCCAGAGCCAGTTGCCCACCTTGGAGCGGTCGGTGAACATAGAGTTGTATGCGCCTGAAGCGGTCTTCGAGTCATTGGCCGGATAGAGATCAAAGAAACGCTTAACCCACTCCCCACTGTAGGTTTCGTTGAGATCCTCAAGGTACTCTGCGAGCGAGATTTCAAGGCCGTAGGTAGCGCCGTTCTCGTTCTTGTTGTTACCAGTGATGACGGGGACGTCGTGAGCAAGGCCTTTCTTCAGGATGTTGAGGTAGGTATCCGGCATGGCGTAATAATCAAGGACTGCATCGAACATGATGGTATCTTCGCGAGTGGACCCAGTCGCTCCGTCAATCAATGCCTCCATGCTGAGGTTGCGGGCTTTGGCGATACTGGACACTCCCAAATTCGAGAGGTAGCTATTGCCATCATCCAGCGCATCTTCCAGCGTAGTATAAGCCTCGGCAAGGCTAGTGCAAAGGGGGTCATGGGGGTCACGGACACCACTCTCAATGATGGCACCAACAATCAGCCTCTTGGTCAAGTTGCTGTAGAGTATATGGTGGGTGGCCGCAGAGCCTGCCGATTGACCCTGGACTGTGATCTGGTTCAGATCACCACCGAAGGCCTCGATATTGGCATGAATCCATTTCAAAGCAGCGAATTGATCTAGCATTCCCCAGTCACCTTCTCAAATACTTCCGAGAGCTCAGAGTGGACAAGCAATTCAAAAGGTCCAGCCCGGTGGTTGTAATTGACAAAGACAACTCCCTTGTCAGCCATACCACCGCCGTCGAAGAGAGGATCTACCGCGGTTGACTCGGCGGGATAACTCCACATGACCACAGGCAGCTTGGTGTTGGTAGAGTTGGCCGGACTCTAAATGTTGAAGTTGAGACAATCCTTTGTTAATGGTGTAACTGTTGTCTCCCGTCGTAGCAGAAGGGCAGACAGGGCCCTAGTTGCGCGCGTCAAGCGTTCTATTCCATGGACTTGCGGGTTGCGGCGCTTTTCAACGATTGGCACCTCCGGTGGTCGCAGCAAACGGAATGCCCTTCCACACAGTGATGTCTTTTCAGTGCGTCAACTTGCCGGTATTGCTGCTGTTGCAAGCCGGATAACCCTGGACCGAGCCATATTTGGTCTCAATCTTGGTTTCGTACAGCGCAGCGGAAGAAACGGATACCAGGCCCAAAAGCGTGGGGAGAGTATTGCGGAGCATTGTGTAAAGACCGCAATGAGGCGGTACTGACAAAGTAAATTGGAAGATAGTTATGCTGTGTGATTCGGAGAAGAAACCGGCCGTCACTTGGCTCTTATAGTCCATTCGACTGCCCCTCTCGGCCGCCGGCTTGCTCTGAGTTCTGAGCCATTGAAGCCTTCTTCACAGAGCTATCTCCGTGCAGCTCGTGCTGACGTATGCACTTTACCAGGGGAATTAAATTTAACCGGACTGTCCGTATCCAAGGCTGAGGAGAATATTCAGACCTTGGGTGAGACGGACGATCCCGCCCCGCTGCCCCGTATCTGCTGCAGGAACGGAGATTGACCTTGGGCTAGGGCCGAGTACAGGGGTGTATGGAAGGGCGGGAGCTTACGCGGCGCTAGTTACTGTGAGTAAATGCGTAAAAGGCGTTGGTGTTATCAGTGGGCCGCTGACCCTTCCAGCCCACTAGCATTGCAAGATAATTCTTTCCCGTTGCTGAATTACCGCATGACATGAGTAAAAGCAAGCAGCAGTGCCGGTAGGATATCATGAAACGTTACTATTGATACACTCACGATCGTTGCTCATATGCCAAGTATGCACTTCGAAGACTTCATTCGGTCAGCCAGTCATGAGTATTGCACGCAGTCCTAAGGATCGGCGATGAACTCAATCTTACCCTCCGACCTCCGGGGAGTCGTCACTCAGTGGGTCTGTTGCTCGCGGCCCGGGAAGCTTAATGGCAATATCGAAGTCCCTGGTAATTAAAGACCCGTGAAACATACCATAGCATGGATTTTCTTGTTGATGCGAGACGGCTCGACCGATCAATCTGCGACTGCATGTGTCATCTCCTATGCGTTTGGAACTTACTTGTATTTATGCACACGCGTCCAATTTTCTAACGGTTTGTAAAATCGCAGCTTAAAAGCGAAAGCCACCCGCAGTATTCGATGAGCATGTCCAGAACTACATTCATTCTTCTACATCCAATTAAGATCTTTCCGCTTTCATTCTACCTTCTCCAATATGAGAAATATTCTCCCCTTGGCTGCGGCAGTAGGGGCTGCTCATGCCACCAGCCTCTCTGATATTTGCAACGATTCCTACATCAAGGCTGCGTTACCTGCAGATGGCACCTTTCAGGGCATCTCCATGATTTCCAGCTCCGTCTCGACTACCATCCATTCGAATGTTTCCATCAGCAGCTCCAATTTCTATCCGGCTGCTACCATCAGCTACTGCGATGTCACCTTCAACTACACCCACACCGGTCGGAATGACCGAGTAGCCCTCACTTACTGGCTGCCCGCCCCAGCTGATTTCAAGAATCGGTTCCTTACCACCGGCGGCGAGGCATACGATATTAACGAGGGTTCCAGTACCTCTGGGTCCTTGCCCGGTGGTCTCATGTATGGAGCGGTCGCCGGCCTCACCGACGGTGGGTTTAATGGTCAATCCTTTGACGACGTCTTCCTTCTTGCCAATGGCACTGTCGACTGGCAAAACACCTTCATGTTCGGCTACCAAGGTATCCATGAAATGATGGAAATCGGCCGTCAACTCACCCGCAATGTGTATAACACCGGAAATGACAAGGTCTATACCTACTATCAGTCGTGCTCTGAGGGCGGCCGTGAGGGCTGGTCTCAGGCCCAGCGGTATGGCTATGATTACGACGGTATTATCGTTGGTGCGCCGGCTTTCCGCTTTGCCCATCAGCAAATCAACCACCTGGTGTCCAACGTCGTTGAACAGACCATGGATTACTACCCGCCTCCGTGCGAGTTGGAGCTGATTGTAAACGCCACCATCGCTGCTTGCGATCCGCTGGATGGCCGCGCAGACGGAGTTGTCGCCCGCTCTGACCTGTGCAAGCTGCATTTCAACTACACCTCCTTGATCGGCGCTCCCTACTACTGCGCGGCCAGCTCCGGAGGCAGCAGTCTTGGTCTCGGGTTTAGTAAACGGCAGTCCATGAGCTCGACCCCAGCGCAGAACGGTACCGTCACCAAAGAAGCCGTCGAATTGGTTCAGACACTGCTCGCCGGTTTGAAGGACACCCAGGGTCGTCAGGCCTACTTGTATTTCCAACCCGGTGCGGACTTTGACGATGCTGAAACCGTCTACGACTCAGAAACCGGCACTTGGGGCCTCAGTATTGACGGTAACGGGGCTGAGTTTGTGGCGAAGTTCGTGAACTTGCAGGAAGCGGACACGCTAACCACTCTCGACAATGTTACTTATGACACCATCCGCGACTGGATGCAAATGGGATGGACAATGTACGAAGACACCCTGATGACTCACAACCCCGATCTCAGCGTCCTCCAGCAATCCGGTGGTAAGGTTCTGCACTTCCACGGTGAGCAGGACCCCAGTGTGCCCACTGCCTCGTCTGTCCACTATTACGAGGCTGTGCGCAAGATTATGTTCCCCAACGAGTCTCTCAACACAAGTGCTGCCGCCTTAGGCGAGTTCTACCGACTGTACCTGGTCCCCGGTATGGCTCATTGCGGCACAAACAGCGAACAACCGAACGGACCTTTCCCGCAAACCAATATGGCCGTCATGATCGACTGGGTGGAGAACGGTGTGGTTCCTGTGACGCTGAACGCGACTGTTCTTCAGGGAGACAATGAAGGCGAGCACCAGAAAATCTGTGCATGGCCCCTTCGCCCTCTCTGGTCCAACAATGGGACTACCATGGATTGTGTTTTCGACCAGGCCTCATATGATACTTGGATCTACGATTTCGACGCCTACAAGCTTCCTTTGTATTAGAAGCGGAACATGAATTAGCCTCGGGAGGTTGCTTAGGAGGCTAGAGGGGTGGGCGTGTCTCAGATAGGCTTGCGCTGATCGCTGATTGCGATCACATTTCTGCGGCCCCTGAAAGACTATAGAGATATCGGCATTATTAGTACGCTTTTTACTTTGTATACCCTACGACCGGAGTATGTAATTTATTCAACCCGAATTGAAAATAAGCTTTGCTAATTGTACATAACGTCCTGTTATTAATTCAAGTACTAGGTTACGAAGTAGCCCATGGTAACACCGTATAAGATCAAGTAGTTATAATATCAGCTCCCAAGCAAGTAACGGTTTCAGCAGTGTCACGCGTCACAGAAATCTAGTCAGTAGCAGTATTTCACTCAACCTGACCAATCTGTCTTTGCAGCTCCAGTCTGACATTATTACACCACTTTCTGCAGCCGCTGCATGCGCATGCCTGTTACCACAGAGCACGTCAGGGTCCAGCACGGGCGGCAAAAGTAATTGCCGGGGTATACAGCGTTGTCCTGATTTGGTTACTTCAATTGCCAGCGCGGCTATTACAAGCCGGATCTGGTTAGGCTGAACCTTAATCTTCATGCAAAAACTCAATCATCAGATAACGGAGTTCCTGCCCGAGTCGCCCGCCATGTAATGAAATCTAGAAAGAAAGAAGCTTTTCTCACATCAAGATACCTCCGCGATAGTCGCGGGAATCATCCTATAATCTACCTGAGGTTTATACCAGATATTATAATATTCGTCATGAATCCATAGCTTCACTTTCGTCAGTATTCATACCTATACGATGGGCTGAACATGTATACTCCACTTAAATTATGTTTAACGCAGACTAGAAATTCCAGAAAAATACCGATAATACCATTTATCTTTTATTTAATTTGTAGGCTCTGTATAAGGCTGTGCCAGTCTCTGGTAGTCAAAATAATCTGAACAAAATATCTTTAAAATGATACTATATGAACGACCGACTCGAGTGGCGTTACCTGAAAAAGTAGAATAACATTAAGGTCATGTGCCTGTTCCGCGAAGTCGTAAGCCAACCCCGCAGGTCAAAAATCCCAAACTCTGATGATGTTGAAGTGTAAGATATGATGGCTCCCCGCTACCTTCACTTGCCCGAACAACCCTTGCTGATATTATGACGCGAGATACGCTTCTTATGAAAACTACTGATCGTTGTATAAAACCTTCCGTGAGATCTCGATCGGGATGTCTGACATGCCGGCGGCGGAAAAAGAGATGCGATGAGCGTCGCCCTTCCTGCACTGGCTGTCAGCGTAACCGCCTTGAATGCCAGTGGGAATCTGCTGACTCGATTGTATGGCCCAAACGCCGGAAGACAAGGGCGGGATTGGCCGAGAAATTACTCCCTGACCAGGCACAAGGGATGGTGAACGTGTTCTCAGTCCTAACGCTCGACATAGTCTCCCGCTTGCTCCGTCACTTCCTCAACGCTAGCCCAAGATGGTTATCAACTAGAACTGGATCTCGAAGGACAGACTACTTGAAGTGGCTTTCTCCTGCTCTATCAAAGAGTCATGTTGTGCGCAGTTGCGTCCTTGCAATAGCCGCGGCGGATTTGCTCAAATACTACCGTAACCACCCACAATTACAGCATGCCGCCGCTGAATACTACGGTCAAGCTGTGTCTAGCCTCAGAGGAGCAATTGAGAGCGAAATGGCCCTCGCTTCGCCATCTGACGTTTCTCTTTCTGGTAAAAACCATCCCTACGCATCCAATTCATATTTGGCTAATATGAACCTAGACTACACTCCGCTGTCCGTCTTGTTGCTATGTCTACATGAGGTATGCGAATTGCAATGCAGCGCGTTATTTCTGAGCAAGTATACTGACAGACTTAGACTCAAAATTTTACGAGCCGCGAGAGAATCCTTCCGCATCTCAATGCAGCGGCTTTTCTGCTGCAAAATCGCATTCACTGCGGCAGCATGAACACTGAGTTAAGAGGATATCTATTTGAGATGTTTTGCTACTTTTTTGCCTTAGCTCGTTTCTCTTTGGGCTCCAAACTATTGATCGCACACGCGGATCCTATCTTCGCCTCCCCGTCAATCATCCGCCTAATTCAGCACGGCCATATCATGGGAACCTCACAGTCTTTGTTCATCGCCATTTACCGCATATCCCGTCTGTCTCATAACTTACAGTCTAGCAAATCTGCCGACGTGCTTTCCGCACGACAGGAACTTTTGCTGTTGGACCAAGAATTAATGGCCTATCAAAGCCAGCTCACTCATGACAATACTATGGACCAGGAGCATCTCAATGATGTCATTACATCGAACCTATACAGTCTGGCGTGCCGAATCCACATCAGGGCACTCTTTCCACCACATCGATCCGACGACAACGACACAGTTCACTCTCTGGTGGATGACTTCATAAACAACTTACAGCATCTGCCTCCGCACTCGCCTTCGCACAACATACTGTGCTGGCCACTGGTTGTTGCAGGCCTGTCCGCAAGAAATTCTGCGCATCAACGTATCATAGTTGCGAAGCTGAACAATATACACGAAGAGTGGAAGTCAGCCGTCTTTTCGAAAAGTGCCGATTTCCTGCGAGAACAGTGGCGAAAGGATAGGGAGATGAGACGTAGACTGCCCATTACCAGTGGCTACGAGGATTCATCCATGTTAGATGGGTTGACATGGTATCAATTTCCTGTCATTCTGGCGTAACTAGTCTGGTCAACTGGGTTATCTTATGACTCTACTTAGCTTCATTTCACGCGTAAATATCTTAGCGAAAGACATGTATTGTGGACATATTGGGACACCACCCTGAGTTTGCATTGTATATAGTTGTGTACTGTTTCGAAGACTTAATGCACCAATGTATATAGTTTCAATATCCAGTGTGCTTGCTGTCAGATTTTACATACAACGTGGAGAAAGTCCAAGGTAGTGACTATATGAGAAAATAGGTAGTAGCAAGCTCCATCCAAGAACGCATCATTATGTTTGTATTCGTGTGGTTGCCAGGCTGCAGGAACCATCACGCCGGTATGCCGTCTTTCCGAATTGGAGATTATAGCACAGATTCTGCAGGTTCAGACCGGCTGAACTGACCAAGTAACTCATCACCAATAGCATGCATTTGTCGAGGTCTCGAGTAAACGACTTCACAATGATTGATCTCTCTCTGCGATCAACCCGGTATGAATGACAGCATGATCGATACCGGCCAGCTTGAGTTGTGTCCCTTGCATGCTGAGCACAGATGCCCCCTCTTCAAGCAAATGTATCAATCCGATCTCTTGCTGCTTTTCATCAAAGGTGCGGTGCCAGAGATGGGCCGCCTGGCCGGAGTCCGTATAGGGCCATCTTCAGTAGGTAAATGAGCGCGGGTGGTCCTTCGTGATACTCAGTAGGCTTTTTCATACAGGTGCTTTAGCCTTCTTAATTGAGCATTCAGGTAGATAGAAACGAACGATATCACACTATTCCCAACGGTGATTCTCTATCGCTACGTTGGTCATGAACATCTTGGGTGCGAATCGTTGGGCACGGGAGTGAAAGATTCGTCGTAATCGATGCCTAGCACCTGGCGGTTCCCATTAACAACCCATGGTCTGTGCACTTCTCACCCTGTCCAAAGTGAGCCCTGTACTTGATCGCTTGGTGGGTTTATGTTTCGCCTGTTGAAATGGAGAATAGTCCATACACCGCGACGCATGGTCTTTGTCCCTCGACTATCAGCCAAGAAGCCAAGAAAGCATGACCATCTGTGCGTGCCTCGCATATCATCGGATTTCGTTCGCACACTTTGTGGCCAAGCAAACCTCATGGTAAATAACACATTGTGCTTGTCATTTACAGCGATGGTTTCACCTGCGGTAATACCAAGGGAATTATTCTGTACATAGGAGAGACGGTACCCACTTCTTATTGACACAAAAAAATGCCAACATCGTTGGACAGTGGGATGTGGCACATTGGTCTCAGGGTGGTGAACATTTCCTGGCCGTTTGAATATATATTGTAGCCAACTTTTCTCAATGATAATATAGTTTGAGGGCACCAACCATAAGAAAATAATACTGCCCTGAGTTCAAAGTCAGCATGTGGGAAGGATTCCCATCTGAAGATTAAGGCTTGCCTCTTGGATATGCTTTCTCTTTATCCTCATTGCTAGAAGCTGATAGGTCGGGATCATGTTCTTCGTAGTCATAGGGTTTGGCGTATCAGCCAGGAAAGCTGGTAATATCTGTCGCAGTTTCCAGCATTTCTACAGAAGTTTTGTCTGTTGGCGTGATATAGACATAGGAATGTGTGAGTGCATACTAAGACTCGAAATCGATACACCAGGATGAAGCTTCAGAAATGTATCTCAAGGCTTGATCTAGGAAGTCAGAGTATGACCATCTTCTGATCTATGGAAATTGGACGGTATGGCTTCAGATGGATTTAAAAGATGAAATAGTGGGACGGAAGCTCCCTTTTATATAGGGGTTGCAAAGACAATGGGCCAGCTGAATTCAGCGCCGTCTGTCTACAGTGACTCTCCATACGTTAATGTCACATTCATGGTTCATGCAAAGGTGAAGTACTGTATTCCAAATTCACACATTGAGTCGATCACCATCAACATCTTGTTAAAGATCAAATTGGGCGAATTCGCAAATTACGGGCAATAAGCACTACTTTTTCACTTAGAGGATATATATATATATTAAGTAGTGAAATGAGCCAAGCACTTAACGCTAGTAAATTATTCATAAATTTATCACTAATCAACTAAGCAATAAGAAGCTAAGTCTCATGCAGACAGACACACGTACTACCTACGAAATAGTTAAGTGGTTGTTTCTAGGATGTTCCCGATGCTGAGTAGGCAGGATCCGTGGGCATCTTAGGAAGACCGGAATCTTCCGACAGGCAGTACATTTACATCAATGAGCAATTATCAGATATCTATGTAATCTAATCAGTCTTGAATGGAGAACCTATCAGATCCAGTAGTTGCAATGCCGTTAGTAGTTTAGCTAGTACTACAAATCGGGGTCTTTGACAATTGGGCTTCATCGAGCTGGTGGCCATAACAGATTACCAAGAATGGCAAAAGGGGAAATAGGTGCGTTACATAGCGCAGTGTAGGGCAACTCAACATCAAGTTGGGCTTGTGGTTTAGGGGTATGACGCTCCATTCGCATTGGAGAGGTCCCGGGTTCGATTCCCGGCGAGTCCATTTTTTAGTTTTTCTTTTTTTTTTTTTTGGTCCCTCTGCCGGGACATATTCTGGGTACAGTTACCCGCGTGGGGATCCACTTAATTGACACACTATCTGACTTAACTACACATTACGCCGGCCCCTTATGCTGCAGTTTGGATCTCAATTTTAGTTCTCGGCACTTTGTCATGATGGTCTCCGATGAGAATCAAAACCAATTTCGTTATCCCCCAAATACCCTTGAAGACACCTTAAAGATCCATGATCTTTGCAAGGGATCCCATTTTTACATATCTCTGCCTGAGATAATATGCTATCCCTGCCTTCGTGGAGGGAAGCTGGCAGTCAGAGTCTCGATTAGTATATCTAAAGTATAGGCCGAGCCCTTATCCATCCACACAGCATACTTGGCGAATTCGGTAGCCAAGTCTCGCCCCTTGCGTGCTCATGGATGAAAGGTTTCAAGTCGTGGTGCAAACGACATATGAGCTAGTTTGCGCATTGTTCCGAGTGTCAGTGCCGACCGACCTTCTCTATAAGGTGATTGCCTTTAGGACCCGCTAGTATTTTTATTTGCCGTTGGATGGAAAAGTCCTTAGATTGGCGCACTGGGCTATTAAATGGCTTATGCTATACTTGGGTCTATGATGAATTTCCTATATCATATTTGTTTCCGCCTTCGTCGTTAAGACTTGCGCATTTGGGATTTTGCCCTGGGCAAATTGTTAATGAGCAGTGACTGCAATACAGCGACTTATTATCCCATTCTGGTTGGCTTATAGGTACGTACCTAATATAAGTTATATGGTAATTAAAAAATACCGAAAACCATGGTCCGGAAGAGTAGATAATGCCTATCTGTATTTAATTGAATGATACCATCAGCTTGACGTATCTTTATGGACATGAATGAGTACTATTTCGAATATGTATTGTTGAATCGCTCTAGAGGAGCTTTATAGTGGACTTTGCGAGGTCATGGTGGTAAGCATGGATGATTCGAGAAGTTGGAGAGAAGAAGGAAGAATGGAGGGAGAAGACGAGTTTATATAGTCACGACTGGGAGGCCTGAATATAGCAGAAAGTATTCCTTTCCTCGGCGAATTGTGAAGCATTTTGGGACTCGTGGGGGAAATCCTTGACAAGAAGGTTAATGCGGCTCCAAGGGTGAATCTTGGACTATAATGCTCCTACGTGGTTGGTGGTGGCAATGAATATCATTTCTTGAATGACATTGTGGAATTGCCCGCAACGGGTACTTAATTGCCTGTATGGAGTAGTGAAGAGCCGATCTATTTACAAGAGGGTTGGTGGAACACTTTGCCTTCTACCCAAAGCAGAGGAACACATTCTTTTGGTCGACGTGATAGTATCATCCCATTGGTAAACTAATGACTAGTCTGCACCTTCTGTCAGGAAGTCACCATATGGTGGTAAACACTGGTATGTTGTCCCTTCCTCAAGGACACAACATCGCTGGAGCGAGATAATTCATGGCCATGATATGGTGGTGGCTCGGCATCCCAATAAAATAAACATGGTTCACCTAGCGGATCGTATAGCGGCCCCTTGTCAATATACTTGTCATAAGACCCCGCGATCTCAACTGGCAGCGTAGCTTCCAACGATTGACGACGTCCACTCGAGTCGGGCGTAGAATACGACATACGCATGTCGAGAAGATAGGCTCGTGAGAGAAGACACGTAGAAAATGGTATGAGGTGTTCGTTCCGAGGCATGCGCAAAGGGAAATGTATGGATGTTGTGTAGTATACTCTCTCATCGCTCTGATGCTCGGTGAGCCAGTCCTCAGGGGCTGGCTCATGCCTGACCCATTGCGTAGATGAGATATCCTCTGATCGCATCGTGATATTATCGACATGTGCTTGTCGGTATTGTGCCTCACGGTGCTTGAGCTGTTTGGTACTCGGCCTTGTCGCTAAGAATGTTGAAGCCTTGAGCGTATAATGTAGGTTTCGTAGTTGAGGAGGCTTCGCTTCTCCCGCTGCTTCGAAGCGAAGCGGTATGGTGATATATGCGTCGGAGGAGCCATCCGAGGAACCCCAGCGCCCCTGCGTCAGCTGTATGGAGGAGCCTTCCACAGATAACTTCCCCAGAGAAAGACATGCTTTGTTCTGCGCTTGCTGCTTCGAATTGAGTTGCAATGTTACGAATGTCTGCAGGCTCCGCGGGAGGTGGTTCGGCTGATGCGGAGGGACAAATCGTATATCTTTTGTAGAAGTAGTTATTCTCCCGCTCTTGTCATCGTTTGCCCTATGGTAGGAAACCATTACACGAATAGAGTACGCAATCCGACAAAGTTCCTGAGACAAGTTGGCGAATCGCAGTGTTGGTGGAAGCTTAGCATGCCGATGATCGACACAGCCATTGCTCTTTTCATGTATGCAAGACCCGAGAGGCAGTTCGTCGGGAATAACGAAACAGAATGGATAAGTGGAAGTTCTTCCGGGGACATGAGTGGGCGAGGTAGGAGTTTCAATGGGTTGTTGGAGCTTCAGGAATGTGTGGCAGGCTGCAGGTTCACGGAGTTCGGTAATTGGCCGCGGTAAAGTCACCCGCGAGGAGCCTAATGTTTGTTAGAAGTCATTAGGCCAAAGGTTGAAGGATTGGATCAGTTGCATACCTTCAAAAGTGATCTGAATATTGTTAACATTCGTGTCATAGGGGGCAGTCACCGTCACTGTGCCTTCGACCCGGTCCCATGCTGTGTAACTTGGTCTAGGATCTTTTATGGTGATTTTGAGTATGGGAGCATGAGATCTCGCCGAAAGCCACTTCATGATTGCATGCAATGGCAAGCACTAAGAATATGCAAAATTGTCAATTGAATTTTCTCAGATCTTAGTTTCCCCGGACTGCTTGCACTTATACTATTTAACGATGACTCTCCATGAATCGGGACCTCATGCCGGGCTCGCTGGGTCCCGGACTCGGAGTCTTTCCCGGGCAGGTGTGTTCGGTTGCCAATCCCGAAGATGAGAGCTTCTTTTGCCCCGTGCTGCTGCAGGTCTCTAGTCACTGAAGAAAAGTGATTCCACTTCAAATTTAGCCAAGACACGACCGAGTATCTATGCAAAGATTTCAGGGATCTTTGCCGGTGATCACGCGTGACTACTCATACTACAAGCAATGCAGATGTTGACTAGGGCCGGTCAATTGGGAACACCGGGAACGGTCTACTCGGGTACCGGTACCCGGGCCAGGATTGGATCCTCAATACTACATTCCAAGCACCGGGTAGACAGGTCCACCACCTCTCTATGGGCCGAACATTTCTCTGGGACAGGAAATCCAGCGAGTAACGTGTTGTTCCAAACCATTGTGGGTCCAGAACAACTAACGACTACTGAAAGAAGGTCCTACTTTCCGACGTCGCTGGTGACATCATCAAAACCATTAGAAAATTGTCTTAAAAAAAGTGACATCGTAATATACAGCTTGGAACTCAATCTACCTTCATTAAGGCCTATCGAACTCCAATTCGGCGTCCACATTTCCAGGAAACGAGAGGAATGCATCCGGCACAGGCCATATGCTAGGCGGCGCTGCAGTATCCTCGGAGCCTGGAATGGCGGCGAACGCATCCAGTTCCTGGGGAAATGATGAGAAGAACCCGTCAAATGAAGGAATACTGCCTGGATTATTTGGCGACTCAGCCGCTATTGGAGATGGAAAAGCTTCCGAGTTCAAAGGACCTAGGCGCCAGAGCTTGGCCCATTTCTGGAATTGGTCATAGCCTGTCCCAGATGATTCCCCTGGGTGGCTTCGTTCGCCGAGATCGAGCTGCTGCCGAGCACGCTCAAGAGCTTCAATTACTGCAATTTCCGACCGAGCCGACTCCAGTCCTACACAGATCTGGCGGATTAGGCCCATTCCTCGCGTTAGGGCACCGCCTATCGGTTCTGACGACCCGCTGAGAAGCTGCGCAATCAAGGCCAGCAAAGCTGTGCGGCACGAACTGAACTCTGTGTATGACACGCGCGCGAGTCCGACCGAGTCATGCAGCAGCTGACAAAGGTCGATGATTCTTATGGCTGCTTGTGTGCAGTTTCGCGAGAACGTCTCAACTAACCCTGTACGACCACCCTCTTTTTCTGATCCGTATCCACCGCTACCCGCGGCCTCGTTTTGTAGAAAGATAAAAGGCCGACCCATGTAAATAAGTGCAGTAGCGTAGTTTAGCTCAAGGTGCACATTGGACCGAAATAAGGGCCCGGCCGGATCAAGGTCGCGGCAGTGCAATGTTTTCGGGAGCGAGTCCCACCACCTGCTCAACTCCATCCTCAGGTTGCATAGTTGGCGCAGATAGGCATCTTGATGACTACGCGGACATCGTCGCAGCCGTAGGATGATTTGGGCCACTTTTTCAAGCCTTTTGGTCAAGTGGATGGCCGCCGTGACATTCGGTAGATTCGAAATACCGCTGGGTTGGCGCAGCTCAACCAGGTCAGCAGGCATGTCGGCGTCTGTTTCAGAGGGAGACACGGATACAGGACGGCCATGGAGGATGCTGATACGGCTGTGCTACTGTGAGCCCGGTTTCACACGACGTAGACTAGTGCCTCACCTTTCAAGGGAATACGCTGTCCACCACAAACGGTTCCGCCATTCCACTATCACTGGCGAAACCGACGGCGTAATATGCTTCCGGTGCATTCCGTTCTGGATGGCCATCTTAATGGCTAGGCCGTAGTACGTGTAGGCCAATCCTGCGGTATCAATCGGCAACGTATACACGCCCAGTAATAGAAAGGCCTGCACAGTCTCAAGTGAGGCGGTGGTGATGAGATCAGGGATCAAACGACACGAGAACCGATATAGATCCATCCCGATGCGGTCGTCAGGAATGTCTTCCGAAAAAGGAGGCTTCTCCTTCGAGGAAGTCTGCATGTATGCAAATTGAGTGCCAATCGCAAATGTCATTAACAGGGTACAAATCCAACCCGCATCGTCGATCATAAGCGGCCTGTCGACAGAATAATAGTAGTCCATCTTCTCCCGAAAGACTGACTCGGGGAAATAGAAATAGTTTGTCTGTGCATACTCGAGGAATGTATTGGTAAGGAATTCGGCAACAGGACGAGGTGGTAAGTATCCTATGGCGGAGGCGACACACGAACTGGCCGACTGCAGGCCAGTAGCGCGAAAGAATCCATCCGAGGGATTTAAGCCCTGAACAATCCGTCAGCGGTGCCATGGGTGAATGCAATTTGAGGAGCACATGCATCTTTCTGTCCTTTAGGAGTACCCAAGCTCTGTAGACGTCGGCGGATCATTTTAGAGAAATTCCAGTGCGACAATTCCCCTGAATAGTCTGATGCGAGGCCAGTTAACGGCTGCCCTTATGAACAGTGTCTTGGACATACGCATGGTGTTCGTTGACAATGGCTCCAACGAATAGCTCTCCGGTGTCTGGTCTTCATCCTCCACCCCTCGCGTCTCTGGAGGAGTCCCGCGATACCGTCCGCTTTCCAGCAGGTCCGCGGTCTCCTCTAGCCGAGCGGGATCGAGCGAGACGTCCTCGCCTAGGAAGTGACGTATAATGCGCTCCATTTGGAACTCACGCTGCGACGGTACTGCAGACATACTTGTCGGCTTTGGTCGAGTATCTTCGAAGTGGCAGGTGCGGTTGTATTGCTGGCAGCGTGCGCAGGGCGGGCCGCCACCATGGCCTACAGCTCCGAGGCCTGATCAGTCGAGGGACTAGGAATCGTGGGTGCAACAAATCATGACGGTGAAAGTACATTTTTCCTTGTGTTGGCGACAAGGGAGGCATCTATGAGTTAAGTAAGTGTCAATGGCTATGTTGTAGCTTGGATGGGACGAAGGAGCTTACGCGCGGGCGGCTCTCTTGCGGAGCGCATCAGGGACTCGCGGTCGCTTCTGGCGACCAGGTCGACGTGGGGGTGGTGTGTCCATGGTAGGTATAGTATGGGGCACCGCCCATTATGCCGGAGCTAACAATCGCGAACCATTGAATTATCCGGGGAGAAAAGAAGCTTCTTGAGGGAAAGAAAGCGATGATGGAGATGATTAGCGGAAGCGGGGAATTCCTGCCTCAGAAGGGGCTGCGGTCAAGTCACATGCCCGAAGCTTTCCGCAACCATCGGAGCTCTGCTCGTAGTGATTACCTTTGCTAGGGTACTGTACCATAGTTTTCATTCTTTAATTGATTGTGAGGGAATCTACATGGTATCCCTGCGAGATCCAATTCCCTGAAAAGTGGACATGCATTAATGGCCATGATCGGGCTACAGAACCTAGCATACTACTGTGGAGCAGTTATATGAACGCGCAATTGAAAGGGTCCAGCTTAACATTTACCTCCTTTTTGATAACGATGCCATGCATATAGACCCTGCTCCCCTGATATTCAGTACATACGACCACAGGGTGTGGAAAATAGGGCTTCCCGTCCGCTCAGCCGTACTCAAGCCACACGCCGGGAGGTTAGTAGTTGGGTGGGTGACCACCAGCGAATCCCTTCTGTTGTATGTATTCTTCTCTTTTTGCTTTTCTTATTTTTTTTTTTACCCAATTTTCTTCTCTATCTGGTCTAACAAATGAAGTTTTCATACTCAAAGATTCAATCAGGTAAATGGTGAAACAGCGGTGATTGTTCTGGTCCCATCCTTGGCACAGCGATGATAATGTTACCGCTTCTCGCATCGTCCAGGATGTTTTCTGATGATGTGCATTAACAGAGCGCTTCTCTTTGAGGCTGTCTGGCCTCTTTAACTCGATGTCCGTGAATTGCTTTTTGAAATCCACCACAAGCACATCCACAATACCAGGGCCACACCCGAGAGCCCAAGAATGAAAGGCTGCAGAATCTGGACCCCTCTGGCTTCTGCGACTGCACCAATCGCCGATGGCATCAATGCTGCTCCAGCCCCTCCGATCGCCGAGGCAAACCCGATCGAGCTCACGTGCAGTGATTGGGGAAGCAGCTTGGTGGCCACTGCAATGAGGACCGGGAATAGAGGGCCAAGAAAGAAGCCTTGCAGAGAGACTGCGACTGCCGAGACGTTGAAGTTTGGCACTAGCCAGAAGATGAAGCCGGAGATTATCGCCAACACGGAATATAGCTGCAGAAAGTGAGCATGAGCGAAGAACGAATTCGCTGATCAGGGTGGAAAGGGTGAGAGGTGACATACTGTAACTGCCGGTTCTTCGCCTATCATCGGCGTAACAAATCCGAGGAAAATGCGGCCACAGGTGATGCCCAGCCAGAATCCTGTAACAGCCATGCCGCTGGCAAACGGGCTACCGTGGCGTATCTGCATCATGAAGACCACTGTCCATCCGCCCAAAGCGACTTCAATGCCGACGTAAATGAGCAGGAAGAGCGCGCAGATCCAAGTCACCCGAGCATAGGGCTGTTGGAAAAGAGCACGTTTCAAGCTACCATGTTCGCTGTCATCGGTGTCATCGCCCGCTCCTCTGGCGATCGGTCTATCATCCCAGAAGGCGATGGTGCAGACAACAGCTTCCATAGTAGCGCACACAGCCTATATCCATATGAGCAAGTAGCGGAGGTAGTAGACATCGGAAGGCGGTACCATAATAGTGTAAAAGTAGAACCACGGAACATTGGCCTTGGTTACCAGTCCGGACACGATCAATGGGCTTAGCACAGCTCCCAGCCCATACAAACCATGCAGCATCCCCAGTAACTCATTCGAGCGAGACAGGCTGCTTATCCAAGCGTTCCATCCTGAGTCTGCTAGTCCATTGCCGAACCCAGACAGCACAAAAGATACCACAACGATAGGGAATTGAGGATGCAAGGAGACGATACTAAACGTTAGCAAGTGGCAGGCCGCTGAAATGAAAGCGACACCGCGACGACCCACTTGGACGTGGACTTCGCTGTTCAGGAGTGCCGCAAGCGTGTAGCCACAAATGGGAGATAGGAATAGAAGCGAAACGGTGCCGTGTGAGATGTCGTAGTATTTTTCAAGCTTTCTAATCAACAGCTTATCTACAACAGGATGGCGAGATTTCACTTACGTAGGGAATCAAAGGCTGGACGAGTGTTAGTTTCAATAACGGCAAGTCTGTTCTTCTCTACAGTCCTTACCCCATATGCTGCATCACCCGCCCCCATTATCAGAAATGTCCAGAAGACAGCTAGAACTTTGAGAACATTGGAGCCGGGTCCCTGCTGCCGTTTACTGTGGCCCAGAGGATGCTCAACATCATCTGGGTGAGGGTGTTGAGGTCTGTGCCCCAGCAAGGGGCTGTCGACTGTGGACATTGCGTTGCCCTCCAAGGAGAATAGATTTTATAATATGATATTGAGACTGCGTTAATGGAGCTATTAAATCCTGGTTGTGGTCTGGGATACACTGGTGCTGGAGAGTTGGAAATGTTGGGATGATTTGATAGATGGTTGCCAAAATGATAACCAACCCCGCAGACCCTCTGATAAGCGCCCGTGCTACCGTGCATTAATAATTGAGTGGTTGGTTGATTGGCGTGTCATGCAGCATGGATCCACTACTAGTACTGATGGGATGCCGAAAAGATTAGCGCGAGTAGGGCCAGCTGGGGTCTCTTACGAGCTGCTTTCTTTGTCGTGATCGGACCTAAATCAAAACAAGGTTATCGCTGATCAAAAGTCTTTTTGGAATTGTATGATGGTATGAAAATATGGACCAGCCTGTTTCGGGAGAGATGAAGCAAACCTCTCACGGAAAAGGGGATAATCACGACGGACGTGACTTGCCATCTGGCGCGGAAGAGAGCGGTGTATCGGTCAATGAGGTTAAAGAGTCGGTGTAACAGAGACACTTTCTGCCCCATCTACAGATCACTGATATTGTTACTCCGTGAAGCAAGAATGTACCTATATAATGAAGCAGCATTCTTAGGATTTTGTAATTCGGCAGATTACAGATCCTCTTCACCACGCCACATACATATTCTGTGTCGTAGTGATGCTTCTCTGCCCACATGGTAGGTCTTTATCGCACCAGAACTCCGAGCAAGTCCCGATAGCTGCACCAACATGCAAAATTAATTTATCATAGGGTGGCTTCAATGACTCTCTTGCAGTAGACAGTCATCCAGGTAACTGCGTGAACACACAATCATAGCCCAGTGCACATTCGAGTCTACCAAAAACCAGTTTAGGCTTCAGACGCTGCACGCGGTACTGCAGGGACTGGATAACTATGGGGACAGCATTTATAGATTTATCCGCCGGCGTTCCTGGACCCATATTCTCCCACTCTTACGATAACATCTACTAAGCATCACTAAACATATACCACTAAATCATTATGCGATAGATTTACAGCAGCAGCATAGTCTGCATCTCCACTTGCAGGGACCCTCGTCTGACATGCCGGGATTTGGCTGGATGCCAGACTCTCGTCGGACTAACCCTCTTTGGGTCTAATGTGATGGTCTCATGTACTTTGTGCAACGTGAGAGACTACAGTGCACCAGATAAGGGTCTAATCGGCATGATGCACACCGGTATCAGAAAATTAACGTCCAAAAAGAAAATGCACATGTTACTGATTTATATCCTTAACTGCCATCTCATCTCATTAAAATGTACAATGCTCATGTGAAACTCTCAATGTATTCGAAACATAATCTTGAAGGGTCCTATGGAGATTGGGATGCCTTGTGATTCGTTAGTATGGTTTTGAGGATGATCCTAAGTACATAAATAATATATATATTGACCGGGCTTGGTGCTACAATACGAAGTAGCCACAAGTGTATCCCGAACTATACGAAAATATTACCTAGCACTTAAGTAGCTTTTGTATCACTGAATACTGCCATCATATGGCAGTGATTTAAAAGATCAATAAAGTTCTGCCAATCGAGGCGGTGGTGGGGCTCCACCGAACTAAGCGGACGCTCATCATAGTGACGTATCCAATTATCGATCTACGTGTAGTGCACAACACCAACAATAACCTTAATTGACTTTCGAAATGGCAAATGTATGTGAGAAAAAAATTACTGCTCACTTGTTTCATTGCCGCTAGCCTATCTGGCTATTGTGTAGCTAGTGTGTCGGGTAGAAGCTCGCAACTGCTAGAAGAGTCAACTTGTCGGGTCTTTTTTATGTGGGAAGTCAAATCGTCAAAGGAGGTACTACCGGCATCAAATAGATCGAAAGGCGAGGCAATTAAAAGATGTTCCAGAGTCGCCTGTAGAGGAATTGAGAGATTGTGTGTACTACTACTAGGCATGTCATTATATGCAGCAACAGGTAATTACCTCACACTTCGAAAGATGAGTCTCAGTCCCGCCCCAAGACAACTGCCTCGCCCACTTTACGTGGCTATGCATCTTTTAGTAAATAGGATCTACTCTCAGGATTGTCCTCACGGGGAAGTTCTGATAACCCCATCCCGCTACATTCATAGCGCTCGACAAAATGGCTAGAGCGTAGTTTGATATTATCGATGTATAGCATCAGCATGACATACTATCATCTTAAAGGAATATCATCAGTATACACAGTATGTGGATATAGATCATCTTGGAATTTGCGCTAGGTATGTATGAAGTCTCCACCTACCTTGGAGATGGCTTCATGGATTACTCTTTTCGGAAGTGATCGGGGTCGCCATTACGAACTTTACCAGATCAGGCCCACAGACAGTTCATCTCATTCATTTTGCAGATGAACACATGTTCATAGTCATGATGATATCAATCTAGTCGACGATCAAGTACATAGAAACCTCTTGATAAGCATATAAGCCACGTCTTCCTCTAATTTCGATGGTCCAGTCATTCCACCAGACAACATCTAGCAACATACCACCACTGCAACCACTGTACTATTATAGATCCGCACACTCACAATTACAATGGGCCGCACTTATCGTACTCACCACCCCAAATTCGCCCCCGGCAACACCGTCAACTTGCGCAGTTATCGCCGCAGCCTGCCCTTCCAGCGCGATGACAACGGTAACATCACCGGCTACGACAAGCTCCTGAACGATTCTCGCAAAAATGTTGAACACTACGATTCTTCTGGCACACTATACGCGAATGCCACGGAAGCACTACAGGGTGATCGGTTCTATGTTGAGCAAGGTGACAATGGATACCGGTTCAAGGAGACCGAGACGGGAAAATATCTAGCGCTGAAGGGACAGTATGAAGTGCCTTCATTCCTACCTTGGCATGGCACAAGCTGACTACTATGGTATTTCTACTAGTTGGATTGGACTCGATGATGAAGGAACAGATCTTTGGTTCGAGGAGTGGCCAAAGGAGGAAGGCAGGTATATAATCACGTCGCGAGGGGATAATATATATCCTGAGGATGGGCCGGGATATCACCTATGGTTCGAGGGGGCGCCGGATGCAGTGTTTCGGAATGGTGACGATGATTTGAATGTCAAGGGGGAGGGGCAGCATGCGATCTTCTGGATTGATACTTTGGTGGGTTTGTAAACGATTGGGCTCCCTTCTAGTGTAGAAAGGAGATGCACTATATGATATTATACATGAGAGATGGAACATGAGGTCTGCAAGAAGATTATGAGGAATGATTACTACAGTTCCATATGTGATTTACCGTATGCCCGTGTGATCAAATGACCACCAGAGCTACTCCCAAGCATCCAGATTGTAAGCACAGTAGCAATATTAGTTACTCAGATATACATTAGGTTGATAATCATATCACGGGGGCTATAAACATCTGGCCAATCAATCCATATGTTTGTCTACAAAAATCTGATACAATACTATTAATGTATTGCAATGGGTGTTATCAGCCTCCTCTGGCTAGTATGAGCCCAGGAATAAAATTTGCACTGAACACTTCATGCAGGTGTCAAGTTTAGAAAAGAGTGATGTGGACTCAATAGGCTATAGTAAATCAACACAGAGTAGTAGGACGAACGTGGAATTCGTTCCCCCTTGCAGCAAGTATGGACATAAATAAATCATGGCCATGCATAACCAGCCTCACATGCAACGACACCAGCCACGATGATGGCGTAGGCAACAGCGTTCTTCCAGAGCCGAGGAGAGCGTGAGACCCTGGGGGATGGTGGTGGTCCGGGGTGATTGGATGACCGGGGGGAGCTTAGGTGGGTCCCGCCAGCCTTAAGGGGCGCTTCCAGGCCTTGGCGCTTCTAGGCGAGGAACAGCTTTGGGGAGAGCGCAATTTCATCCTGGAGGAGTGACCAGTAAGCGTGTCCCCAGTATCCCTGCCGGAACTCTTGGCGGCTTGGCTCAGTTCTCCTGAATGAGGAAGAATGAGAGAAATGGCAGGTAATCTGACCCAAGTGATGCTCCACTTTCCCGCCCGACGGGGCAGGGTGTGCTTGGCGCCACCATCACCATAAAGCGTGGTTGTTATTGTGGTAGGTTGCGGATGCGCCCGCCCGCACTGGCAGGCCCATGGAGTATTGAGGTGTGTTGTGTTACCTGACCTGGGTTCGATATGTATCTATTCTTAGCGCCAATGTTGTCTTCCTCCCAAGCCAATACTTTGGGCTCGGCACGGGGATCTTCCATGCTCTTTCTCGATGGCTGATTCACTTTCATCTGAGCGCACATCCAATCGCACCCTCGGCGGTGGATCGCACCCCAGCAAAATTTGCAGGGCCAAGATCCGCCAGCTCGTCTGGTGTCTGTCCGCAGGGCTGACGGACTTTGGCCAGCAATGCGTCTGCCTGCCTGGTGCCCTGAGCGGATTCCGTGGATTCCGGCTATATAACTCCTGAGCTCCCCCGCTGGTCCACTGGCCACCATTGTGTGACCCCATACAATACTTTCTTCTGTCCAGATCATAGAACAGACAGAACCACAACCATGTCCTACCAGCAGCAACCGCCTCCCCAGGGATAGTATGTACCTTCCGAACACTATGAATGATTGTCCGAGCTCAGAAACTAACGCTGTCTGTTTCATAGCTACCCTCCTCCTGGTGGCCAGTACCCTCCTCCCCAGCCCATGCAATATGCGCCTCCCCAACAAGAACCCTCCAAGGACCGTGGCTGCTTGACCACCTGTCTCATCACGATGTGCTGCTGCTTCCTCTGCGAGGAATGGTGCGAGTGCTGTCTCGAAGCCGCCGAATGTTGTTGTTGTGGTTGTTAGTATCGTGATGATAGCTTTGTTTTAATTTTCTTATGTGCAAGGCGCTGTGATTGGGATTATACCTGGATCGACCGCACTTGGGTGATTGCATTATACTACTGTCTATACTATTTTATATGTTACCATGTCAATGATCATTGTTTTCTGTGACTCATGTTGGTTTCATGCTTTGTCCCCATTACTACTAACTAGAGTACGGATTGAACTCATTGACAAACACATTCCGAGGCTTGCTCAATGAGCTGGGTCCTCTCTTCAGGAAAGCTCCGTCTCCTTTGCTGCCGACAATGCCACCTGCGTCGCGGTTCCACACCGTCTGTCCGCGGAGAATGGTGTATCGAGGCCAGTTGGTGAACCCCATGCCCTCAAACGGCGTGTAGTCGATATCGTGGTGCAGCATGTCGTTGGACAGTTGGAATGGTGTCATGACCGATGTGCCGTTGGAGGCAGCCTGCTCTGGCGTGGGATACCAAATCGTGAGATCCGCGTCAAAACCGGGCTGGATTGTTCCCTTCGTGCTCCCAAGTCCATACAGCTTGGCTGGGTTCGAGCTGGTCAGCTCGACAAATTTCTGGATGGATATGCGCCCGGTGAGCACACCGCCGCAGAACATCGTGGGCAGTCGCGTCTCCAGCCCCGGCAGTCCATTCGGGATCTGGGTGAAGCTAGACGTGCCCTTCTTCTTGCCGAGGGGGTGATCGAATCTACCTGGTCAGCAATGATCTACATAATCACAGGTGGTACTCACTTAGATGGTGCGTGGTCGCTGGAGACTGTTGTGAAGGTTGAGTTGGCCAAGCCCGCCCACATCGCCTCCAGGTCCATCGGATCTTCTCGCAGCGCTGGTGAGCACACGCATTTGGCACCTTCAAAGTTCTTCCCCTTTAGGCGCTCGCTTGTGAAGAACAGATAGTGAGGGCAGGTCTCCGCGTGGACTGGCAGCAACCGCGTCTGGGCCGCCCGCACATGTGCCGCAGCCAGCTTGGAGGACATGTGCACAATCAGGATGGGAACATCGGCCAGCTCGGATAGAGAAATGACGCGATATGTCGCCTCATCCTCTGCAATGTTGGGACGCGCCAGAGCGTGACCATATGGCTCTGTACGGCGGCGCGCCTCCAGTTTCTCCGTCATCCACTGGATCATCTCATGATTCTCGGCGTGAACCATCGTCGTCATCCCCAGCCGACGGGTGGACTCCATGACATCCAGAATCTCGCCATCCCCAAGTCGCATCGGCTGATAAGTCATGTATAGCTTTACAGAACTGATACCACTGCTGACTAGCACTGGCAACTCTTCATCGAGGATGTTCGGAGTGGGATTTGTCAGGATGAGATGGAAGCCGTAGTCGCAGTACGCCTGGCCGGTAGCCCTTCGATGATACTCCTCGACTACGGGAAACAGACTCTCGTCGGTCCGTTTTTGACTCGCAAAGGCTAAAACCGTCGTTGTCCCTCCTGCGATAGCTGAGCGAGTCCCTGACTCCCAGGTATCGCCAGTCGGGGAGTTATCCTGCTGCAGATGCACATGGCTGTCGACACCACCTGGCGTCACGTATGCGCCCTCTGCATCGAGTGTTGCTGCACTAGGGAATAGTGCAGGGAGATTCTGTCCAAGAAGGACAATCTTGCCACCGGAGATGGCGATATCTTGGTTGGGGACTACATCCGAGGCGGTGGCCTGCTGGTGTGAGCGATGTTTCTATATAGTAGAATGGCACGTACCACTGTAGCGTTGATGATTATCAAGTCGATTCCTGGAGTAGCTTTCATTGCGACGAGCGTATACAGTTCTAGATTTGTGAATATCACAGAGAGACTCCGGATAATAAATCACTATCGTTATCGCCTCCACCGTACTAATACTACTGGAGGTCATCGGATCGGCCGACGATAAGATTGACTCCCAGATAGCGATAGGGTCTACCCCGACCTTCCTAATCAGGCCAGCTTGACATCGATCACGCGGAAATATATCCGGACAAACCAAGAAGTATATCTGCACCTACTATTTGCCTGCTACTTCTACCGAGGGATACAGATTCCCCAACTTACCCCTCAACATCTCCCCCTCATTGGTATACCACACAATTACTGAGCATCATGCCTCGCACCGTCCGCCTCGCCGCCGCCCAAATGGGCACGACCAACAAATGGTCCTCGCGCGAAGAAACCCTAACCCGAATGATCACCCTCCTCAAGGATGCCGCCAACCAAGGAGCAAAACTGGTCCTATTCCCTGAAATCGCCTTCACGACATTCTTCCCTCGATACCTGATCCTCGACGAAGCCGAGCTAGAAGATTGGTTCGAGCACGGAGATATCCTGACCGCGCCGCGCACAAAGGCACTCTTCGACACAGCCCACACTCTATCCGTGGACATCATCGTCGGCTTCGCGGAAGCTACCGACGTAGGCGAGCACTTCAACAGCTGCGTGTACTACCACGCCGCGACAGGGTCAATTCTCTCCAGATACCGCAAGGTCCATCTCCCCGGTGATGTGGAGCCACTTCCCGATCCGAAAGCTGTGAATCAGCTCGAGAAGCGGTACTTCAAGCCGGGGAATCTGGGATTCCAGGCTTTCCGTGTGCCGGGCCTCCTCTCCCCGTCACTATCACAACATCAACAAGGTGAAAAGGACGCAGACCCCGTCCTCGGAATGATGATCTGCAATGACCGCCGCTGGGCAGAATCCTGGCGCGAATATGGCCTGCAAGGTGTCGAAATCGTCGCCTGTGGATATAATACCAATGGATTTGCGCCGCAGTTCTGGGGCCAGTCGGCGGATATGACTCCCGAGGAAGCGGAGGAGTTGTCCCTGTTTCATCATAAACTAGTCATGCAGTGCCATAGTTACACGAATGCGTGTTTCAGTGTTAGTGCTGCGAGATGTGGGCTTGATGATGGAGAGTATCCCCTCATTGCCGGGTCGAGTATTGTTGACCCTGAGGGGAGAATCATCGCGGAGACAAAGACGAAGGGCGATGAGGTTATCATTGCGGACTGTGATTTGGGGCTTTGTCGCGCTGGGAAGACCCGTACGTTTGATTTTGCGAGACATCGCAGAATTGAGCATTATGGGAGGATTACGGGGCAGACGGGGGTGGTGGAGCCCCCGTCCACTACCAGCTCGAATATTATCGTCCCAAAGACGGAGAAGAAAGGGAAGATAAGAGTCCTCCTGATTAACCCCAACTCCACACCCTCCATGACAGATACTTGCATCTCTATGGTGAAACCGACCCTCCCACCAGACGTCGAAGTTGTCCCCTTCACTGCTCCCATCCCTGCCCCGTCGGCAATTGAGGGATCCCTTGATGCTGTTCTGTCCGCTGCCGCTGCCGTCAGGGCTATTCTGCCTATCGCAGATCAGTACGATGCATTCCTGGTTGCGTGCTTTAGCGATCATCCGCTCGTTTATGCCCTGAGGGAAGAGCTATCCGCCCCCGTGATAGGGATCATGGAGGCTGGGTTGATGGCTGCTAGGACAGTTGGAGGGAGGTTCGGGGTGGTGGTGACTTCTCAGAGGTCAAAGGTTATTCATGCCGATGCGGTGAGAAAGTTCGGAATGGATGGGGTGTGTGCTGGTGTGGAGGCATGTGGAATGGGGGTTTTGGAGCTGGATAAGGGTAGCGCTGATGGCGGGAAGGATGTGGTTGGGGCGATGTGTGGTGCGGCGAAGAGGTTGGTGGACGGCGCTGGTGCGGATGTTATTGTCCTGGGGTGTGCAGGGATGATGAAGTTGAAGGGGGCGGTGGAGGAGGCTGTTGGAGGTGATGGGGACGTGCAGGTTGTGGATGGGGTTGTGGCTGGGGTGCAGCATCTTGTTGGATTGGTCAGGATGGGAGTAAAGACGGCGAAAAAGGGGGCGTATGCGAGTTCTAAGGTGGGGAGGTTGGCGAGGGGGCAGGAGTATCTTTGATAGCAATCTCTTCTTTTGTAGTTTGGGAGTTGAGTAGCTGTATTGGAATGATAATCAAGCTAGTGTGATTTCCTTTCTAGTGCGCAGAATTCTCGACTTCCTTGGTAGTCACCTCTACTCCCTCCCAGATACCTCCCTCGTCGTCATCCACTGCTACCGGCCAAACTTTGCAAAGGCCCCAGTACACCCCTCCTGACACGAGAATACTGACCAACCAACTCAGCGAATACAGATACACTGCGCCGACCGGCACGCCACTCTGCCCACAGGCATTCGCTAGACCAGGCAGATTCGGTGCAATCCCGCAGATGAAGGCCGCAAAAGCGCGGAGGTTGAATCCCCGCGTAAAAAAGTGCGTACCTCGCGGATCGTATAGAGAGTGAACGCGCAGCTGTCGTCTCCGGATGATCCAGTAGTCCACTATAATGATACCGGCTAAGGACCCAAGGAAGAGAGAATAGCCACCTAGGAAGGAAGAGAAGGATGCCGCGCTGGATAGAGGTTAGACATGACCGTTTAGAGGGAAAGATGTCATACTCTTCCTGGATGTACCATGGGCAGCTCAGAATACTGAGCACCGCGCAAACATATGCACCTCGTCGTGCGTTGATGTACCGGGGAAACCAAAGGGATAGATCATTTGAGAAAGACACACTATTCGCAGACAGATTCGTCCCTATGGCTGCCAGAGACCAGCACAACGCGGCGAAGAACTGCGCGGCACGGTTGTTCCACAGCGCAGCCACCTGTAGCGGATTCCAGGTCTGCACGCCATAGATAATCTCACTGGCGGAGGTTACCGTTGCACCGAGAACGCCGCAGAGCGAAACCAGAACTATCAAACCTAAAGCTTGCGTCCAGATAATTTGGCGAGGTGAGTGCGCGTACCGCGTAAAGTCGGGCATATTCAACGCAAGGGTGGCTTTAGGGCCGATAGCGCTGGTTACGCATTGCAGAAAAACCACTGCCACTGGTGTCCCGTCGGTAATCTGGCTAGGTTTAGAGAAGACGGGACCGAATCCGTGGGCAGTGGCGACGGCCCAGATAAACAAGGCCAGGCCGAAGATGGGCATGATGACCATCTTAACTAAAAATAGATAGCGGAGCTGAGGAATGTTGAGGTATAAGAGCGGGAGTTGGACGATAATGGCCAGAAAGAAGCAAAGCAGTTGAGCGGAAGTTATAGGCCCCGAACTCGGGAGATGATTGGGTAGATGTTCGAAAGATGGCCAGATGGCACTTATCATCGACGAGATGCATTCTCCGGTTTGGTAGGTCTGAGTGCCGAACCAGATAATGGCGACGAGCCCGCGGACTGAGCTGGTCAGACAGATTTGGTCGATAAATTGAGGATGGCTTACTGAGGACAGCAAAATAACTCCCTCGCATGCCGTAGCTGGCACGGGTGAGGATAGGAAAGTTGATGCCATATATAGAACCCACGTATCTGTTTCTGTTAGATGGCTCTCTGTGATTGTTTGGACACCAACCCATCGAGCACCACTGGGATGTACACGAGCATGTGGCCGATAACCACTGCCGCGATCGCCAGACCCGCGTTCAACCCCTTTGACACTGATGTGGACGTGACTGGCCGATTAGTGAAATTCATTTATGCATAGAGGAGGCCTACCCTGGTACATGCTGATTGAGAATGCTTCCGAAATCCAAAACCCAGTCAAACTGACCCATCCCCAAGTCCGCCGGGCTGAATTCCGTGGAATAGGATCCAGATCGGCATTGGAGTCGACTCCCGACACCACCTCCCCATGTTTGACTTGTAGCCGCTGCTTCAGACCCATTGTGCGCGTTGAATGGGCTGTTGAGGTTTCGGCAAGGGGCCGTTATTTGAGGCCGCTTCCATTCTTGGTGCAGATAAGAAGTCGGATCGGCCGATGATAAGTGACGGGTGTGACGAGTCAGGGAAGCTGCGTGGCCACCATTGGGACGCGCGATTGCAGTTACCGGCGCTATCGGGAGTTAATCTGGCAATGATATCAACTGCCGCTCGGACTGCCAGCCACAGCACTGGCAGTGGTATTTGCCTTTGCAAAACAGCTCAGTGGAGTCTCGTGTAACCTGCTCAGCAAATCAAGATTAGAAGATAACGTTTGATAACGTCCTGCAGCAAATGGAACAATGGCAATTTTCAAGGCTTCAAGGAAGATAAGTCGGCAGCCAAAAATGCTATTCAATATGACATGTCACTGGCACTAGTACTGCATACACCTTATTTACCAGAATGTTAACCAACGAGACTATATCTTGGACTGCTTCAACTTCCTCTCTCCCGCCTGATAGACCTTCACCAATTGCCGAACGGCCAGGTCAAGCAAAACATCCTCACTACCGCCCGGAATCCGGGCAGCTGGTACCTCTCGGAGAATCGACTCGACCAGCTCGCCCTGTCCGCTTTGCGTCAATCCGGCTCCTCCAAACAGGAGAACCGCGCACTGCGCACACTCGTTCAACACCATCCCCGCCTTGGCCTTGGCGAGGGCGGTGATTCCACCCAGCTTGCGATCTCCTTCTTCCTTGGGGAGGTGGCACAATTGGTAAAGGAGCTGCTCGACAAAGGCCCCCAACGTTTCCAACTCAGCCCCCGCCCTAGCTAGACGGTTTCGGACAACTGGCTGGTCCATGAGCGTTTTGCCAAAGGCCTCTCGCTTCAGACAGTACTGGAAGGCGGTGGACAGGGCCACGCGAGCCTGGCGAGTGACGCCGACCGCGATCGAAAGGCGTTCGTGGTTGAAATTCGTCATGATCATTCGCATGCCGTCTCCTTCACGGCCGACCAAATTCTCCACAGGCACCTTGACGTCGTCCAATTCAATGTAGGTGGTTCCACTGGTGATAGGGCCGGTGACCTTGAGCGGGCGCATCGTGACGCCGGGGTGTCCCTTCAATGGAACGAGCAGGACGGAGAGACCAGACGCTCCTGGACCACCGGTGCGAACAGCCATGGTCGCAAAGTCGGACCAGATCCCGTTGGTGATCCACTTCTTCGCACCATTGACCAGGTAATACTTTCCATCGGGCGTCTTGGTGGCTGTCGTGGTGATGTTGGCAACATCGCTGCCTGCCTCCGGCTCTGTGATCGCGATGCAGCAGCGTTTGCGACCAGTCAAAAGATCCGGGAGGAAGCGTTCCTGCAACTGCCGGCTGCCATACTTCAGAAGAGGCGGAATTGCAAAGTTGAATCCGGCGTTCAGGGATGAACCCGGCCCAGCCATACCGGCTCGCGCCATCTGAAGTTGTCAGTCATGCCCTATGGCGTGCCCAGGATACCTACCTCGTCGAAATAAATTCCCGTGTACATGTAGTCCCAGTCCTCTACCTTGACTCCCAGGATGTCGGCGATCCCCAAGCGCTTCAGCCAGTCCACGGGCAAGGGTGCGCCGATGTTCGGAAGTAGCATATTATGCTTGCAGAACGTGTGGAAGACATGCTCGGGAACCTGCCCGGCCTTCTCATACTCGGCAGCATGGCTGTGGAGGTGTTCCCAGAAGAAATCGCGACAGGCTTTTTGAAAGCGACGATGGCCCGGCGAGTAGTAGGGCGAAGGGAGACCGCAGAGATATGGCGGCTCCGAAAATGGAATTGGGTTAGAAGACAGCTGCGACATATTGCTGTTGTCGTAGTGATTATTTGGGAACACCTCCGTGGATACGTTTAGAGTCAATGGAGTGAGATATCTAGAAGGGGCTGTTGAGCAAGGAGGCATATGCGGTATATCCGAGCCGGGTTAGCCATCCCCGCATTGGCAGTCAGCCTCGGTCAAGGCTCATCCCGAGGTCAGTCACGTGTCCTCCAGGCCGTAAGAGGAGAAAGATCAACATCATGAGTTGCTCAGAAGTTGTTGCTTGTGAATAGAAGAAGAGGGAGGGTGATTGTGACGCGGATCGATCTGAAGGTGTCCTTCATCGTAGAACACTACTAAGTAGGCAACTCGCACTGCAACTCCAGCCCTTGCACCGACCGGGATTGGGTTCGGCCGGATCGCGGACAAGCTTGGGGAGCCAATTGGTCCTTGCTCAGGGACCGAATCACCACCGGAAATAATAAGAGATCCCCGACTGAGCTATATCTCTCGCATCGAGTGAGCCAGGGGCAGATGCGATAAGGGTGAAGGACAGCCAATCCAGCCGGTGCCGTTGGGCCTGCCATCGGGGATAGGTGCATTAGTATAGTCGGTGGTGGTTGTCGGTCCTGCGCCCAATGAGTCCGGGATATCCCTGACTGAAAAAGGATGTCTCATTCGCTGCGTTAGTACATGTCTTCTATGCCTTAGGACGGTTAGATAGGATGCCAGGGTGCCTGTCTGCGCCCCGCCTGTAAATTGGCTGGAGGGGATAGACCATCTGCTCCACGAAGGACCTGCATGAGAGGTGCCAAACCTGAGTATCTCACATCGAATCGCGTTGGGCACACCGATCTGATTATATATCTTCCTCCACCGGCATTCCACTTCCGACTGGTAGCTGAATCATGAATTGCTTGTCTGCTCGATTCCTTGTTTCACATCGGATGTCCGGTGTCAAATGAAAAGGTGGAAAAGTGAGTCTTCAGCTGGAGATCCATAATGAACTCTGCTGATTGGCAGATAGCCGAGATCCGCTGCGGAGCAATTAGTCATGTGCCGTTGGTCGGTCACGCCGAGGCCTGTCCCAGTTGGGATAAGTGCGATCACGGGGCCCACGAGATCCTAAATGAACGAGACCCAAAAGGGCAACGCAACAAAGGTGGCATGATTCAACATTCAGTGAGGAAAGAGTGAGGGACATCTCAGCCCATCCCTGCTGCTATAACATACCCAACCTACTACTGTTACTACACCCTGCTTGCGACTGTTCTAGACACGCTGCGATCGACATAGTACATATTATGTATTGTCCGGGAGTGTAGCACACAAGCGAGCTGACATTGCCGGCTACAGGAGCAACACCTTTGCATCAGCTGAATGCCCAGGTGGTCGCCATCCTGCCTGCATCATAGAGCCGATCCTGATGCCAAGAAGCTGACGGACAGTTCGTTCCTTCGAGGGGACCAGCACAGACCGGCAACGATCACAATTGGATGCGAGCGGCGAATCATGACTGGGACGACGGGACTTCCGACCTCTCCGACGTATTGGATCCTACGCGATGGGATCGTTAGCGGGTCCACTCCGGCCAAACGGGCCCTCTGATGCCCTTGGACGTCCAGGGATCGCGACGGCGCAGCTGAACACTGGAGTCTGGGCCACCGTCGCGGAATCACCCTGGTGGGGACGCAATTCGTTGACTTAATATACGTGAACTTATTGTCTCCATACACAGCCCACCATTGGTCCCCCCCTTCCCCCCCAATCAATCGCTTCCACAATGGACGCTGGCAGTCAGCCTTCAGCATCCTTGCCTGGTCGGATCACACCTTGCAAAACTCTGCCGCGGAGTTCCACGTATGCGGGTAAAGTAGTGGACCACCCTGTCAACAGCCCTCAAGCGTTGGATGACGGCACAGTTTCGGAATGACAAGCAGCTGTGCCAATCGCATGGCACGTCAGCCGCAGTCGGCTTCTCCATCGGTTTGGCGCAATCGGAGGCGCATGCTGGCCCAAAATCCTGCCAGGGGTCATTGGGCCGGCTAAATATAAGGACTCTGGGGGAGAGCTGGTCAGCAACACACTTTGCATCTTTATTACCATCCAAATCAAGAGAGTGCAAGCCAGTTCTACCCTTGCTGACGTCCCGTGTACCATTCCATACCCATTGCAGTCTACACATTCCATAGATTATCCACTGCTAGTCTGATCCACCATGGGTTCACTGTCTCCTGTACAGGATGGCATCAAGCAGGTGACGCGGAAGGAATTATACACCGATTTCAGTAAACGGATGGATTTTCTGCGTTTGTTCCTGGACTTCACAGACGGTATGATCTAGTCTGGTGATAGATGGGACAGGTAGCTGATTACTACTCCAGATGATATTATCGTCTTTAACAAAGGCGCCAAATTCCTAAAGGCGGCTTTACCAGTCCTGACTCACCGTCTGTACGCTAAAATGCTCGACTTCGACATAACAGCACGCGCCTTGCGGGTTCGAAGCACCGAATCAGACGCCCAGGTAGATGAATACTTCACTCTGGACGGTCCGCACGTGCAGCGCAGGAAAATCTTCTGGAAGTGGTATTTGACCCGATTATTTTCCGACCCCAGCCGACTCGAATATTGGGAGTACCTGGATAAGGTTGGGTAAGTCCACTGAGCTGATCCTCATTCAGACCCTCGTGAACAAAGCCGGGAAGATGTACTGATTGCATATCCGGGATTCAGAAAGATGCACACAGGTAAAATCTTGATGCACCCACTGAAGATCGAGTACATGCATATGAACACGTGCCTGGGGTACGTCAAGGAGCTCGCATACGAAACAATATCCGGACATCCGGAGATGTCATATCCGTTCAAGTTTGCTCTAATCAGAGCGTTCAACAAAATCATGACCATCCAAAACGACCTCATCTCGAGGTGTTATATCCGCGAAGGTCAGGAGTTTGACCATCATTCTCCAAGCCCAGGTGAAGCGCCGACCACAGGAGGAGCGCCGCCACACACCGACACTGGTTCGAATACCGACTCCTGTGTTTCAGACACAAGGTCCACCGCAGATACCCGATCGAGTACCGATTCCCGATCTATCCCCGACCCCCAATCTTACGCGGACATTCAACCCAACCCGGATGCGCGGTCATTACCCGAGGCCAGGCCCAATACTGGTGGTGGGTCAACCGCGGAGACGGGGTCCATCGCAGAGTCTCGATCCAATGCCGACACGTGTTCCATACCGGATTCTACCGCAAACAGTGAAACATCATCTATGGCGAATGAGAGGCAGCTGCATCCCCGGTGCTTAGTCCCTGGTCTGAGTCAATCGAGACCCACTTCCTCGAAAGGGTCTGTTCCCAGTCTACGAGATCGCAGCGCCAGTTTCGATTTATCGCGGGTACGAACTGCAAGTGACTCAATAAGCTCCTACGATCCGCCGTCCACGGCGGGTAGTAGCCAGCGGCTCGGTCCTAGTTATGCGGGCACGGCAACCGGGTTCACCTCGCCGTTTACCGTGGACCAGCTGGGGCAATCGTTCGAGACGAAGATCTGGTCGGCAAAACCTAAACAAAAGTGGTTCAAAGCGTCTGAATAGTTGGTATTGGCTTTCCTTTGATTCCCCATGCTTTTATTTTTGAATTGTCTTCACAGCCGGGTGGCGTTTCATGCTTGGCGGATTATATCTATACCTTTGCGGCTGGTGTGTATATATTTTGAGTCTCATCTGGATAAAACATTACGAAACTTACTGAAGAATCCACAAATCAATGTCTGAATCAATGCACATGGTTGTAGAGTCCGTTCCCCTAGCGCTTCGAGGCAGGAGGGAAAGACCCTCTGTTTGGCCCTCGCGTAGATTTGTCCGATACCCCGGTATCTCCGATGAACTGCCCCTTGTAATAGACTCTAAATTCAAGCTAAGGAATGAGCATTACGCAAATCGCCTTCAGACTATTTGCGGGGGCCCCCTAGTGCACGTAGCCGACGATGATCTGAAAATCCCCACCCTCGCCTACTCCGGATCCCGCCACCCCGTCTCGAGGTATGACTATTAGTGACACCTGCAGGTGCTTGCGGTGACAGTATATCCTTGTACAGGGAGGACACTTACAATTGATTGGTGCTCAACAAGGTTCCAGATCTCAGTAAGTTAACTGTAGAAAGTATCGTGTGCTCTTGTGATTATAAGAACTACTCCCGGTAACTTAGCCAATGAAAGTATATTCTTCCTCGGGTAATAGCATGTGCATAGCCGACTTTCCCCAGACAGATCCTTAAGCGCTCCCATGAGCAAAGAAGCAATATCCGTAATACTATCTCTAGGGACCTCAGTCAAATGTCTCTGAAGTACTCAGACACGCTCGATAGTAAGTAGTTCTATGATCTACAAGATGTTCTCGTCATCCCGCCTGATCCCTGTCAACCGAGGCTCGGGGATGCCAAAAGCGGGGAGTGGCACCACCATCACAACAACACCATTCCAACCTTCAACATTGCACATCTTGCAGTTCTCCCTCCATTACCCATAACCACAACCGTGTTAACAAACATGCAGGCCGTTGTCTTCAAAGGTCCTCTCGAGGTTGCTCTCGAGGAGCGTCCCATTCCTCAGATCCAGGATCCCACCGACGTGATCGTCAAAGTACGCTACACTGCACTATGTGGGAGGTGAGAACCCCAATGATAAAACATCCAAAGTTCATACTAAAGCTCTATATCTGTAGTGAACTACACGTCTTCCGCGGCCACCAGCCCTCCACAACCGGCTTCATCATGGGCCACGAGTTCACCGGAGAAATCGTCGAATCCGGCTCAGAAGTCCACAATTTCCATACTGGTGACCTAGTCGTCTCGCCATTTACTGTGAGCTGCGGGGAATGCTTCTACTGCGTGCGAGGTTGTTCCTCTCGCTGCGCCAAGAGCCAACTCTACGGTTCTGCGGTTCTGGATGGCGGACAGGCAGATTATGTCCGTGTCCCGTTGGCGGACTCGACGCTGGTCGCTGCGCCGAAGGAAATCGATGAGAAGAAGCTTGTGCTTATGGCGGATATTTTCCCCACGGGTTATTTTGCCGCTAACAATGCATTCAAGGGAATGGATGAAGCTACGGTGCAGGAGAGTACGGTGATTCTGTTCGGATGTGGACCGGTGGGGATCTGTGCGTTGATCAGTGCGCTGGAATATCGGCCGAGGCATCTTATTGCCGTTGATAGTGTTCCCGATCGGTTGGAGTTGGCGGGACGGTTAGGGGCCGAGCCGTGGAATTTCCAGACGCAGGCAGATGGGTTAAGAGACAGGGTGAAGGAATTGACGGAGGGCAGAGGAGCCGATGTGGCGATTGAGGTGGTGGGACATAGTAGTGCGCTGGCTATGGCGTTTGAGATGTTACGGCCCTGGGGACGGATCTCGAGTGTGGGAGTGCATAATGGCGAGATTCCGTGGACGGGCAACCAGGCCTACGGGAAGAATCTTCAGATTCAGATGGGGCGATGCCCGGTTCGGAGTAGGTTGATCGTTTTATTGGCAGGTTATTATGATACTGACAACTGTATTATAGGCACTTTTGAAGATGCGTTGAAGCTGCTGGTTCAGAAGCAGGATAATCTTGAGTAAGTTCGGTGGATGGATGCGGGATGTATATATTGTACTGACAATGCGTCTAGTTTCATGGTAACCGACGTGCGACCATTATCGGAGGCTGTCCAAGCGTAAGCGTATGTACCTTATATAAAAGGCGAGGCTAACAATGTGCAGATACGACGATTTCAACCATATGCGATCGCAGAAGATCATCTTCGAGGGCGGAAAGTGAGCGTTTTCGGCGGTGAGGAGTTGGTGGTGAGGGTTGTTGAATCATGCGGTAGAGTGTTTTGCATCGAATGAACGCGTGTCATGTCTTTTCAATTAGCAGTAAAAATCATTTGTAAATGTCCATGATTGCAGCTAGATCCAATATGGCGATACTTTTGGTGTGTTGTCCGTCCGAACTCATTGATGGCTATCAAGCAAAGGGATCCGTATGTGTCTGATACCTGCCAATGGTGCCTAGGTCGTAGACGATAATCCAGGAATCACTATCAATGAAACTCCCATGAAAGGAAGACTGGGCTGAATGGACCCATGTCACATGTCGGAGCCAGGCCAGCAGATAAAGGTGTAGTCCCCCAAGGCTACGCATCTTTTCACTTCTCCACCCTCCTCCCACGTCTCTCCTCGAACATTAAAGTTCAACAGGTATATTTATTGCTTTGATTGTTATTCCTAACACTTTAAAAGGAGGATATAAACTTGTCTCTCATGAATTATCTGTTGAAGATCATTTTTCCCTGCACCGATGGTCGCAGCTGCTACAGGGAAGCTACAGGCCAAGTGAAACACCCAAGAGAAGGGAAATAACTACAGCGATCTAGGCCCCTGAAGTGGGTAGATAAAGGATGTTCTCGGTTATAATCAACTAAAATGTGCTAAGACTCGATTCTCATGCAGTAGCCAGCTTTCCTTGAGCAAGAGCCAGTCGATCGCGGTGCCACTACTCGCGTTAGCCAAATATTCCGGGCAATCATCAGACCAGATCTGCCTACCTTTCCACATGAGATTGGCTCGAAAAGTGCGGGATGTTGTTCATCAATGCAAGACGGCACCACCTGGCACACCGACTCGGGATTGAACCCGAAGAAGAACGGCATCGAATACCGTGATGTGCTTTGCCGGTTATATACTCTGTGCACCGTGGATCTAAACCGGTTGTTGGATAAGCGCTGCAGGAAATCCCCAATATTGACGACAAGTGTGCCTGGGATGGGTCGAGCGTCTAACCATTCGTCAGAGGATGACAATACTTGCAGACCCCCCGACATGTCCTGCCAGAGTAGTGTGAAGCATTGAATGTCGGTATGTGAGCCGATGCCGACGTCGATCCTATCTTCTTTGAGTTCGACCTCGGGTGTACCAGGGTAGTGAATGTATAGGCCATCGGAGCCGGGGTGCGCGATGACGCTATCAAAATAGTCCTCGGAAAGATCCAAGGCAAGCGCAAAGATACGGACCAGTTTTCTCGCCAAGGCTAATCGAGCTTTCCAGAACGAAATGGTGGTTTCGCGAAAGTTTTGGAGATGGGCGGTCCCTGCCCAAAGGGCCGAGTCATCCCAAATCCGATCGTCTGGGGTGTCTGGTCCTGCGGTTGGGTCATTGCGGCCGTTGTAGCGAAGGGAAAAGGTCTCTTTGCGGTCTGTTACTGTGTTAATGACCCGTCGCACACTATTGGTTGTGAGGCTGACCCTTTGTCTCAGATTTGTTGACCTGGGTTGTTCCTACCGCATGGTATCCATCCATATGCATTAACTTGAAGTTGGATACTTTTTCTTTCTCTTCCTGCGGCTGATGGAAAAAGGCTTTGGCTTGCGTGAGAGCGCTCGCGATTATCTCCTCGGAAATCCCATGATTCTTGATGTAGAAGAATCCTGTATTCTGAGCAGCAGCGCGAATCTTTCTTGCGAGTACAACACGTGCGTCCTGGTCGCCATCAATACCTACAATATCGATAACAGGAATCTCATCGTCGCTTGGGAGGCGAGGAGGAGCAGTTGACACCCTGCGGTATTCCGGTCCGTTCAGCGTCAATAGCTCGACATGGGTATATTCGGGGGTAGCCATAGCAGTCATCCTACAGGTCATCCCCACGATCGCTTTATTTTGCTTCGGTCTGGCCTTGTAAGGCTATTTGTTCATTTGGCCTCCGTGGTGCTTCTTAATAGCGATGATATATGTCCGATGGTGTGCTGCCACGGCAATCCCCGCAATCTCTTTGGTGGGGAATACGGTCGAGGCCGAATGGTTGATAAGCATGGCGATACAAACCTAACGCCTTATTGGCCCGAGCTTAAAAGGTAGTGGCACAAGGAGAACCCGCCAGGTTTGCCCAGATGATAAAGGAACCTTTCCAAGCCGTTTTAGTCGCAGCCAAGAGATAAGGTGTGTCTGACCGCGACAGAATCATGGCATCCCTTATCGGCTCGAGGGGTTGGTTGAATAAATGCGGCCGAGGGCCAGCATCAATCTTCGTCAGACCGCAGATCTCAGAACCGACAACATGAGTTCCATATGGGAAGGGATCCACGAGCGGTTGCTTGTCAAGAGTGTGGACCAAAATGGTAATATCAGACCAGTTGGCGTTCTGGATAATGACTCGATCCGACCTACACCAACCAAGGACCGAAAATGGACACGTCTCACATACCTCTTCTTCTGGTTCTCGGCTACCGCCAATGTGAGCAACTTATACGCATCAAGCACCGGCGTATCCATGGGATTGACCATGTGGGAGGCCATCGCCTGTTCCTTTACCGGCCAGTTCCTCGCTGGGTGCCTAATGGCTCTCAATGGGCGGGCTGGTGCGATGTATCGAATCCCCTTTCCAGTCTTGTGTCGTTCTAGCTTTGGTCCTTGGGGTGCTCTCTGGCCAACGTTCAACCGGGCAGTGATGAGTATAGTCTGGAACGGCGTCAATGTTACTCAAGGAGCTCAGTGTTTATAGTGAGTGTCGCGGTCCTTTTCCATGCACATGACTGAAACCGATCCAGTGTTCTCCTGCATGCAATATTCCCATCAATCGCTCGTATTCCCGATAAGATGGGACCAAAGTCTGCCTTGTCGTCTGCGCAGATGATATGTTTTCTCGTTTACTGGTAAGTACGTGTCCACCCGATAACTGCGAGACGCTAATAGGTGATAGGCTTATCAACTGCGCATTTCTCGTGGTTCCTGTGCCCAAGATGAAAAAGCTCATCTACATCAAAGTAGTAGTTTATTATGGCGGCGCTTTCGCCATGCTAGCTTGGGTGGTATGCTTGGCTGGGGGTAACCCTCCTGCCATTCACGAGGCCTCGACAGTTCATGGGAGAGCCAAGAGCTGGCTTATTTGCAAGTTCCTGTTTTTGGGACTGGCCAGCTGCGGGACCTTCATTTCCAATGCCGCGGACCTCCAGCGGTACGCAAGGAAGCCTAGCGACGTGATCCTAGCACAGGTCATCAGCTTTCCGCTGTCGGGATTACTAGTGGCTGTCATCGGCAACATCATTGCTGGATGTAGCAGAAGCATATTTGGGGAGGTACGTCTGATCCTTCCCAACGAATCTCCATATAGGCCATATACTAACGAAGTCAGCTGATATGGAATCCCCTGACATTTTTGGACAAGCTGATGGATGGAGAAAGATACACGCCGGGCAACCGCGCCGCTTGTGCGTTTATTTCACTGGCATTCGTGTACTCGACTGTCTTCTCCGCCATTTTCGAGAACTCTATTCCGTGAGTGTCCTATAGTTTCGATGACATATTCTTGACTAATCCCTCATACTATGCAGCGCCGGAAACGACATTGCAGCTTTACTTCCTCGGTACATTACCGTGAAACGAGGCTTCTTTATCTGTGCTAGTCAGTATTGGCCCACCAGTCTAGTCTTGCTGTCACTAATAACATATAGTCCTGTCCTTCGCTATCTGCCCATGGTACCTCCTCGCCACAGCAGCCGTCTTCATCACCTTCCTCTCCTCCTATCAAATCTTCCTCTCTGCTATCGCTGGTGTTTTGATATGCGACTACTACCTGATCCGACGGGGATGGCTTGATATCCAGGCTTTATACACAGCACGTACCGACGGCGTCTACTATTTCTTCCACGGATTCAATTTACGCGGCTTCGGTGCCTATCTTGTAGCAGTTGCGCCGAACTTCTACGGTTTCCTAAACCAGATGGGCGTCAAGGCACCCTTGGGTATACAACGGTTCTACTTCGTCGCGTACCCTGTCGGCCTGCTTATTGCATTCGGCGTGTATTACCTCGGATGTGTCGTGTGGCCTCCTGCGGAAACCGAGAAGATGGGCGGGTGGAAAGAGCCAAAGGAATATTGGGACGAATTCGATCCCGACCGAGTAGACGGAGTTGAGGCGGTGACGGTGCTGCCGGTGGTCGTCAAAGACGAGAATGGTGCTAAGACTGGGTTGGACGTGTAAATCAAAGTCTGAATGGACTATTAAGCGGTTTACTGTAGTCAGGATGTTGAGATGTCCGAGACTGATCAGAGCCCCTCCGTGCAGTATCTACTTAACTTACGGACCTAAAATGATAAGCTGGCTACCAGGAACGGAGAAGACTTTGAGTAGAAGGCAACAAGAAAAAGTCTCATTCAGTACTGCTAATCATATATCAGTTGTCTGTGGACGGACGTTCTTCGTGATCATACAACTCTAAATCAGAGCTTTGCATTGGTGTCACCAACGGGCTTTCGGCGAAGGACCTTATGAGCTTGGGTAAAGGTGTCAGTGTGCAGGGCCCCCGCAGTACTCACTTCTAAGGCAAGGGCAAACGCAGCTATCAACGCAGCGAGCCGGCCTTTCTTTCCAGGTCCGCTACAATTCATGAGTTCAAGAGCCTCTCGCTGAGGGCCCAGGTGTGTGCCGCCGCCCACGACGGCCACTGGGAGCGATGGGATGTACAACGACAAAGTTATCACCTTGGTTTCGTTGTTGTATTCGGGCACGAGTTGGTTCCAGCATGCTTCGGCGATGCTGGCGACATCTTGTCCTGTCGCGATGAAAAGAGCCGTCACGATGTTCATGGCGTTGATACTGTTGCCATGCACTCCTGCCCTGATGTTCGTGGACTGCAGCTGACAAAGTCCCTGGTACATGGCCTCAGATGTACATCCGAGCACCTCTCTAGCAGCCTCATTGGTAATAGCACCCCATGCCATGACTTCTACACCTCTTGGTTCCATCAGATGAGACCAGCTTCCTTTCTTGTCTGCCGACAAACCGGCCTCTATGAGGAATCCGCGAACCTTTAGCAGCTGAGCGACAGCAGGGTCTAACAGCATTTCGCGGCAGGCGCGATGAGTGGCGATGGTGGCCATGTTCTGGCCGGCAGCGTCGCCACATGCATAGTTGAATTTCAGGTGGGTTTCGGAGCCCACCACCGTGGGTGTTACGGAAAGCAGCCGAAGATGACGACTGGTAGACTCGGCAACCCGTTTCAGTTCACCATGGAAAGTAGGAATTTGCTCAGCAAAGAGTAGGGCGTCGGTGGGAGAATTGAACTTGAAGGCTGGGGTCCTGATGCCCGGTTAATATCCATCTCGTTCGATTGAAGCACTTCGCTGACTGCCAACGGATGGATTGTTGTGAGGATCGTACCTGGACATGGTATCACTAAGAGATGTGATGTAGACGCCCCCGCTTCGACTAAACACCTTGCAGCCCCGACTACAACTGGCAATTAGGGCCGCTTCGGTGGTAGCCAGAGGAGCGTAGACCTCTTCTCCCTTTTGCTCGCCGGCCTTCCCGATCTCCCGGACGAGCAGCGGGCCGGCCAATCCCACAGGCACCTGTACAGAGCCAATGGAATTCTCAATATGAACTTGGGAGGAGTCTATAGAATGAGCGGTAATCTTCTTCAGGCCTTTGGTGACCTCTTGGAACTTGTTGCTCGTTCTTGTGGCTTGAGAAGACATGATTGGAGTGATCGAAGATAGCACAGCGATGGTGATAATATGGGGTCTTTGGAAAAGAATCCTATAGCCCGGCTTTATAGAGGAATGCACCGGCGGTGAAATCACGGGTAACCGGAACATGTTGCATGCTACTCTCGCAGGAATTGACTATTTCTTGTTATTTGTCATTTTTCCAGCTCGCCACTAGCACAGTAGCTTCATGAATAACCAATATCTGCGTATTCCTGAAGGCGCTACTGCACTAACAAGTAGTCTCATGCAGACTCAAGCTACGCTAAGCTCACGGATGTGGCGACTTTTATAATTGCTTTTCTTGCTATCTGGACCTGAATTTATTTCCAACCGATCTTACTGGCTCGCTTGGATCAGCGACATGAAAGACGGAGTTTCTGTCGAATCAAACATGATATCTTGCTTGCTTTTTACGGGAAGACCTGAACAAATAGTAAGTCCTAGCTTTCCCCTCGACTTTGGTGACCGGTTGACTGGATCGGTAGTTAACACTCTTACCAGCTGGAGTGTGATGTAACCCCCAGCCTGATTAGCATCGATAAGGTCTGTATCGAGGTCTCTTTCAGCTGCTACCCTGACTTTCTGTCACGTTTGTGCAGAGAATACAACCAAAGAAAGGCATATTGACCCTCCGGTCATATCCCTCTGTTTAAGAGGCAATGTCTTGGATTGTTCTGGCAATTGATCCTACCTGCTACCTCCAATATTACGTCCTGATACACCCATCTGTGATCTGATGCATAGTCGGCAATATGCGCTCATATTGGAAGTATCACGACCGGATTTGGTGGTATATTCCATAATTTATAGTACATAATCTTAGACATCATCCCATGGCTTCACTGAACCTTCATATACAATTCAGCGCGCGCACCGCCTTTACCGATATATAATAACTTACGCATAGCTGCTTCATTTTCACCTCCAAACCTACCGGTCGGATCAGTTTCCCACTTACCAAACCGTATCTCGGCCCAGCGCTGTGCACCTCTGAACAAGCTTCAACATGACAGCAACCAACGGATGCAACCACGAAGAGTGGGATACCTATTACAAATGGGAGCCTGGACTTGCATCTTTCCACCAGAAGGCCCAAGAAGAGCAGAACCACATGTTCCTCCAGATCGATCAAAACGATATTTACGCCTCACAATGCCTTGGGAAGCTCGTCAAGATCGACTCACTGGACAGGCTATATGACATCCAAAGCGGACTTGCTGTTTATGATGAATCAATGCACTTTCTCAAACAGATCAACTTCTACCAAGTCGTGGCTGAGCCAAGTGTCTGGCGCCACCAGACCGCAATCTATCAACTTCTGGTTGACCTGTGTGGGCAGCTTGAAGAGTTGGTGTATATTGGTAAGTTGAGTCCTGACACCTCTCATCTAGCGATGAGATTGTTTTTCGTCTTACTAACTATGTGATAGTCGAAAGTGCATTTGAGTTTAGTCCCGAACATGCTGAGCAGATGATCTTGAACAGCTATATTAAGTGGCGCTGGCATCTATGCAGTGTGGTGATTGACGATATCAAAAAGCGAGTGGATGATCTGAGTAAAGATTTCGGGCGTTGGACCAGACAGACCCCTGGAGAATATGGGGACATCTTTCCTCCGAACCCTCTCGACCAGGAAACTGAAACTAACGCATCGGAAGTGTCGGAGATTCGAGGAATGACTAGGTTTGGGGCAGTAGCAATGAATTAAGTCCATCATAACGGGAAATACATTATGTCGTACCTTTTCCAAATATATCCCAAGACGTCAATCTGTATCTATGAGTAAAATAGAAAGACTTTGCAGTAGCTTGATCACCCATATCTTATATGTAGAAGCATTTGCTCTCAGATAAAGTCAGGAAAATAATATCAGATACAGAATTTATACGTATGGGATAGATTAGATGGGATAGAGTGTAAGTCGAGTATTGTTCATCGAGGATAGATCTGTCCTCTCATTCTCTATCTTGCTGTCAAGTAATTTAGACCAGGTGGAGCAGACGTTCCACACTCATACCCTCCAATTTCCTCCTTCATCAAGTGCAGACTTAAAGACTGGTCTGAGAAGGACATGATCATGCAGACATGGTGGCCTTCGTTGGATGGTTAAAGATCGTGTGGCACAGGAATATACCGCCTTAGGGACCATTATGTTGACTGCCTGTTAGTTGTCTTGACAGTGGAATTTCACGTAATGATAATATGCGAGTCTGACGGAACATTCCGACTGAATATATTGTGACGCGTAAAAAGAATTGTAGTGGAAAGATTTAAGTGTGAATTTGATTCAAGGCCCCAAAAGTCCGAGTGTTTCTCACATTCATCAAAACCGAAACATCAGGGTTATGTGTGTCTTCAGAACTGGAATCTTGCGAGATATTATGACTACCACTTAAGATGCTCTATCTTAGCCGTCTTCCAATCTATATCATGACAGACTGGCTAGTCACAGTCTATGTGACGTGTTAAGCGGGAAGTCCCTATTTTGTCTTATGGTTTCACTGATGTTGAGGGTTTCAGACGGGATGACTCAATTTGGTGCAATATCGATCTTCGAAGTACCCGATGATAAGCGGGGAAATCCACGCCTACCATATGGAAGTAGCTGACACTGGTGCAGTTGTTGTGCATAGTCTGCCTATAATCAAACGGAGATCTCATCAAAAGTTTAGGAGCTCCCCGGTAACGCCATTGTTGAAGGCACATGGCAGTCATAAATTTGCCACCTGTCCCAAGCATAAATAGGACCTGATGTCCCCTCCTTGTCGACAATCTTTCATCATACTGCTCAACGGTGCCTGGCTGACCATGATGTAGCTACACAGAAAGTTGTGCACTTCTAACCCATCAACAGCTAGTCAATAAATCCATGATTTTGAGTGGTATGACTCTGACGATGGAGGTTTCTATGGTGCATCTGAATAGTGTAGTGAGCAGCATGGAATACGCTCTGGCACTGTTTTGCAGCTCTTAGCAGTATGCACTGCTAAATTTCTTTTACCTTGTTTTCTTTCGTTTTAAGGAGGCGCTACGGCTACACCAGCCAGGATCCCTCTACATCAACCTTCGCCCATGCTTTCCTACCGTCTGCCTACCCTAGAAGGTTGACTAAGCCCTTAAGGGTAAGGCTAGGTTTTCAAGTGGACGGAGAGTCTGCCGCAGTCATTTTTGGGGTCATTCTTGATGGAGTTATAACTCTTATAGCTCAGGGGGTGACTGATAAAGATGGGAGGCGGTGGGTTTCTCTGTCTGCAGTGAAAATGCAAGCTCTTACCTTACGGGGAACACGTCTTACCTTCCAGGGTAGACAGTGGGCGTGACATTAGTGAAGAATGTGAACGAACGCCTGGCTGTGTGGCGGTATCGTCTCGTTCTTCTTTGCCAACATCATCTATATCCATGTTTCTGTAGTGCCGGTCGCGTGGAATATGTTGTCCCCTATTGCTGTTGTGACTAGACGATGGGTGTCTCTGTTCAATGGGGGGTTTATTGTCGTGTCTATAAGCTTTGTCTACATAAGACCTGAATAGAATCACCTGTTTGAATCGACCGAGGCTCACTGTCTACATCTAACCTAGACTCTAGTGGACCATCTGAATAGTCTAACCTAGGCTTCGAGGGCGAAGTCAAATGCCATACCTTACACCACACGAGCCCTGAGAGACGGTCATATACTGACCGTAGCATGTCATCTTGAGAATGACCCCGCCTTGAAATTTCCTTGTCCGTAGCCACATTTGTCTACTCCAATTCTGACCACTAAATTGATATAACTTGCGTCAGAGGAAGCTTGTGACTGAGAGTTGTGGGAAATGCGGGTTGGGATCATTGAGGAGGTGACTTCATTGGTGTTTCTGTGGGTTTGTCGGCCGGTCAGATATAGTCTAATGCCATGCCTAGCATGCCATTCCACTGCTAACTCTGTTTTAATCTTCTATTTTCTCTTAGCCACATTTGTCTACTCCAAGTCTGACCACTAAACTCATATATCTGGCGTCAGAGGAAGCTTGTGGCGGGGGACATCAGGAGTTGTCAAACAGAAGTATCAATGGGGCCAGTTTATGGTTTGTTTACGATTTTGCCAGCTGTTGGAGGAAGATTTCTCCCCTTGAATTTCTTCTTTTTTTTTTTTTTTTTTTTCTATTTCCCCGTTGCCAGTTCCCCCTTTGTGTCAATAGTTTCCTGCCGACCTTCTACGCCTTTTTCCATCCCTCATACACCTTTTCCTATCATTACCTCACCGTCCATACTTTTTTAAAGTTCTCCCCTTGCATCTTGTACTACCATCTTCACATACCATTGATTTTACACCTCCCTGTAGTCCGTTATCCCCTTATGCCCCTGCTCATATTTTTAATATCTCTTCACCGTGTCTCCTTATCATGCTCTTCTCCTGTCTTCTGCCTTTCTTTACCTTTCATGTACCACCCAAGGGCCTCATGTATATTTCCCTGCGTCATGTTCTCTGTTTGCTTGGTCTTTCATCGTCCTGACCTTTGAAGTGTCTTGTTCTTTCTTCTCTGTTAATTCTTATCTTATGCCTAAACTGTTTCCTTTGCTGCCACGTTTCCCCTTTGGGTGGTTTTTTTTTTTTTTTTTCTTCTTTTAACTGCGCTTCTGCGCAATGATACTATCTTTTTGAGAGCAACCGAGTTTCTCTCAACACTCAAGCTGATCACTCAACTGTATAACCTACCATGTAGTCGTAGCAGGCCCATCGCGGCTATTAACCTTTCTCAAGTAGTTCCAATTAGTCAGATGCATACGTAGAGTCTAATGTAATTGAAAACATGAAACATCCCATCACGAAGCTGACATAGTCAAGTGATAAATATGAAACTTTTATCAACTATCTATCAAACTCTAAACAAGCTATACCCCAGTCAGACATATCTCATCTTCATCCAGTTCACATAAACCCCCCTACTGACTTCTAGCTGCCCGTTTCCGCTCCTTCCTCAACCTCCTCTGCCTCCATTTAATCCCCTTCTGCATAACTACCCACAAACTCGGCGACGCAGCCACAGAGATCAATCCCAGTGTGGTATACGCCCACCCCTGTCCCATCGCCTCACTCATTGGCGTAATCGCCGCTGAAGCTGCAGCTCCCAACTCACACCTGAACAAATTACTTGCTGCCGTCGCAGCTGCAGATCGACCAGGCCACAGATCCACCAAAATCGCATTCAAGACCTGCGATGTGCCGTTTAGACTCCACCCCGAGATGAAGAGCAGGATGACCGGCGCAGCCAGATTCACCTTATGTCCGAGGACCCAGCCGTAAGCGATCATGGACACTATGCATGTATAATACATTGGCAGTCCTACTTCCAGCCTTGCCTTTTCGATATTGAAATTCGTAAGATCCTGTCGCACGTTCCGGATAACGGGAAGTCCGGCCTTGGCGGCATGTCGACGGTAGTTCCAGTCCAGTAGACGGCCTGTGGTGAATGCTGAGACGATGCCGCCGGCTCCAATGGGTAGGTACATCAGTCCTGTTTCGATGTCATTGAGGTGATATATGTCGTGGAAGGAGGTCGTCGCTCCGGTCATTACGGCGTAGAAGCATGCGAATGTTAGTCCTGTGGCTAAGAGGATAACGCCCGTTTCGAGGTCGGCGGTGACCTTTAGTGTGGACATGGGTGATGGGCACCGGAAGGAGTAGTTCTTGCGTACTTCGGCGAGTTTGCTTTCCTCTACGACGAGACCTTTGGCCTTTCGGTTCCGGTGCCGGATTGTGTCGCTTAGGTTTTTGTTTAGTGTTGGGGGTGGAACGGAGCCGTCAGCGACCACTTTGCGGCAGGTCTCGGGGAGGAAGAGTAAGAGTGGAAGGAAGAAGGCGGCCGAGTAGATGAGAAGGAACCAGAATATCCAGTGCCAGTTGAGGTACTGACTGAGGAGTCCGCCAATAATTGGGGATAGAGAAGGCCCGAGCATGCTCCCTAACGAAGCGAATGCGATGTATGTTCCTCGTTCTGCGGATGTTACTAGATCTCCGACCAGGCCGTTAGCCAGCGCCACAGTGCCGCTGCTTCCTGCACTTTGAAGGCATCGTAGACCTAGTAGTGAGCTGTAGTCGTTCTGTAGGCCGAGGCCGAGGTTGGCGGCGATGTAGACGGTGAAGCAGATTATGTAGGCGGGACGTCTGCCGGCTGTGTCTGAGAATCCGGCGATTAACATGGGAGCAACGCCTTGCATTATCTGCAGCAAAACATATGGTGTTAGTAATTATAATGCTTTAAAGGGGGGCTTCAGACTCACCAGGTAGGTCGTGACAGTCAAGTCAATCTTGGATGTGGAGACGTTCAGCGCGGCTGCTATCGTGTCCATGGCAGGGAAGTAGATGCTTGAGGAGAGTGGTGAAAAGAAGCTGGCCATAGAGCCCGTCGCCACCATGGCTCGCTTTTGGTTGACTGTGAAGACTGAAAATACATCCAGCCTTGGTGGTGCATTCTGGTCCGGCTCTTTTTCTATATCGGGGGCGTTGGCCTCTGTAGCCGATGAAGAGGATGGGTTGTCATTCATATTGAACACTTGGTTTCTTTGCAGAAGCTCTTTTCAGATATGAACAAACGAGAAGTCCACTTATTCCTCAAGAAAAAGCAGGGTTGAAGGAGTAAAAAGAAATGATGCCCACAGTCCATTATTGTGACAGCTCGAGGCTATCCCGGTACCGGCTTCCCATCCCGGAACCGGGCTTCTCCACCA